AAAGTTAGTGGAATTTGAACAACTTATGTGTCAGGAGAAAATTCATATCGTCGCGCTCTCGGAAACATGGTTGAACCCTGATATAACACTTAACTTAAAAGAATACAGCGTATTTAGACTTGATAGGGCAGACTCTTATGGCGGAGTGGCTTTAATAATACACAGATCTCTTTCGGCTCAGATGCTTCCACTGCAGAGTGCTAATGCGGCTATTGAGGTGATATCCGTTAAAATCTCTAATTGTGAAATTGTTGAGAATATAATATCTTTATATTGTTCTCCTAGTGCTCAAACTTCATGTAGTGATTGGGATTCAATATTTTCGTTTTCTGATAAAAAGACCCTAATACTTGGAGATTTTAACGGACATCACCCCAATTGGTCGAACAAAACTGACTCTAGAGGCACGCAAATTTTGGACTCGTTAGAGGACTATAATTTTGTTATTATGAATGATGGCAGCCCTACGCGATTAAAATTGGTTGGCGGTACTTTACAACATTCAGCTCCTGACATAACATTATTATCATCTGATATCGCTTTTAAGTTCAGTTGGAATGTTACCAACGAGTGTTTAGGTAGTGACCACCTAATGATTAAGATTTCAACGTCTTTGAATCATTCTCCAATTACTCATAAAAGACGCAACTTTAAAAAAGCTGATTGGGTTAAGTATCGTCGCATAATAGAAGAGGAGTGCGCTCAGTTTGACATTTCGAGTAACCCGCAAGAAGCCTATGATGATTTTATCAATTTGTTGTTTAAAGCTGCAGACGCAAGTATTCCATTTGTTAAAATATGCCTAAACCCTAAGGCCAATTTTATTCCTAAACCATATTGGACTCCTCATCTATCTCAGGCTGTTGCTGAGAGACGATTAGCACTTAAAATTTTTAGACAGAATCCCACACCCGCTAATTTAAATAAACTGCAGGAAAAAACTCGCAAGTCGCAAAAACTAATTAGAAATGCTAAAAGTAAAGGATGGTGGGAATTTTGTTCGTCCTTGAATGAAATATCTTCAGCTTCTGAAATGTGGAGAAGAATGCGATGTATAAAAGGTTATAGATCAGCTAAACGACAAATTGATAAAAGTATCGCTGAGTCATTATTGTGCAGCTTAACCCCTGACTATGTAAGTCAATCCTACCCGGGGTACACATCTCATAATCCCAAATTGGAAACTGAAATATCTAGGTCAGAGCTTTTTAAATGTTTAAAATCTAAAGACACGTGTCCGGGCGTAGATGATATTTCTTATTCAATGTTATTTAATCTACCTGTAGCAGGCAAAACCGTTTTGCTCAAACTTTACAATATGTTTTTTACACTAAGCTTTGTTCCCTATCAATGGCGTCAGATTCGCATTATACCTATACCTAAATCAGGCAGGAACACTAATTGTATTTCATCTCTTAGGCCTATTTCTCTTATTTCGTGCTTATGTAAAGTATTTCATGCCATTATCAATAACCGTATAGAGTGGTACGTTGAAAACAAAAAACTATTTTCTGAAGAAACTAAAGGATTCAGAAAATCACATTCCTGTCTCGACAATTTAACCGATTTAGTCACAAACATTCAAATAGGATTTACTAAAAATTTTTTTACAATAGGATGCTTTCTAGATCTAGAAAATGCATATAATAATGTAGACATAAGTTATCTTTTATCAACCCTCGATCGTCTTAATGTTGGCGCAAAATTTTGTAACTATCTTTTGGCTTTCTTAAGTCAAAGATATTTAATGATTGAAGGGATAGATTATAAAATAATTAGAAGCACAGGTCGCGGTCTAGCACAAGGTGATCCACTTTCTCCGCTATTGTTTAACATAGCAACAATAGATATATGTAAGTCTATAACTTCCAAATCACATCTTAATATCTCTCAGTATGCTGATGATTACGTGATATTTATAACTTCTAATAACTGGAAAGAGGCGCAAAATCAACTCCAATTAGGATTAGACATTTTAAATGATTTACTTCTTAAAATAAATTTAGAAATTTCACCATTAAAAAGTAAAATATGCGCATTTTCAAGAGGGCATCGACGACACAACATTAGTCTAAAAATTAAAGATGTTGCTTTGGAAGTGGTAGATAACGTAAAATACCTTGGAATGTGGTTGGATCGAACGCTACGGTGGAGTAAACATATAAACGAAACACATGAAAAAGTATTAAAGTTTTTAAATGTATTTAAAGTTTTATCAGGTTCGGGTTGGGGTGTCCACCCTAAACATTTACGGAAACTCTATATTAGTATTATAAGAAGTCGGTTAGATTATGCGAGCTTTTTATATGATAACAGTAGTAAAACCAATTTATTTAAGTTAGATAAAATTCAAAACCAGTCAATGAGAACTATAGGAGGTTACATAAAAAGCACCCCTATTCACGTCATGGAAAGCGATCTCAGTTTATGCCCATTACATTTAAGAAGATATTATCTTGGAGGCAAATTCTGGTTAAAAAATAAATCCGTATTAAATAACTCTTCCATTAATCTTATCTCTAGCCTATCCGATATCATTCAAAACAGGTATTGGAATAATAAGAAAAAACCACTGTTAACAATAATCCATAATAAGTTCAAATCACTTGTTATATATTCAAATTCAGACTTAGGTATGTTTTCGCTGAATCAGTGGATCACTAGTTTAAACCTTTCAGATTTTATAAGACCAAATATAGATGGAGTCCTAAACCCTAAACATCAATACCATGAATTGACCTTGAAAAACATGTGTATTAATTACCTAAACGAACAGTACCCGACTTACTTGAAGATATTTACAGATGGTTCGAAAGATAATTTTGGAATCGGGGCTTCATTTTACGATATATTGCACGGTATGGCAATAAAGTTAAAAATCAATGGGAGTATTTCAATAATGGAAGCTGAGCTTGTGGCAATCTATGAAGCTTTATCCTACACACAGTCAAATAATTATAACAATGTCGTTATTTTAACCGATTCAAGGAGTGCGCTTCAACACCTTGCTCGGTGTACTTCGGTTTTCCGAGGCTTACCAGTAGCATATGCGATTTTACAGCTTCTAGTTAAGTTACAGGCTGATTCCAGAATAGTATATTTACAGTGGGTACCTTCGCATATTGGCTTAGAGGGTAATGAGAAAGCTGATATCTTAGCCAAGCAAGCTATCTCTGATGGCATTGACATAGATATTACCCCTTCATTTCAAAATTACATACCTTTATTGAAAAAATATTGTTATGATCTCTGGAAAGAATATTTTGACGAAAGATCAAAAGAAAAGGGTATATGGTACCGTACGATCCAGCCACACCCAATGCAATCAACCTGGATAGATAACAGAGTATTGTGTAGACGCAACACTGTAACAGCATTAAGACTCAGATCTGGACACATTCCATGCAATAAATTTTTATACTTGATGCGAAAAATTACCTCACCAAATTGTTCAATTTGTAATATTATCGATGATGTTTATCACATTTTGATAGAATGTGCCCAGAACTCAAGAGAAAGAGCAAATTGTAATTTACATTTGTCCTTAATTGGTAGTAGTAACAGTATTTTATCCGACCCGTTATCAGATGATGCCAAAAAACTGTATTTGTTAGTTAATAAGAGATTAAGTAACTCGTAAGTATAATAAGTTTATTTGTTAGTAATTATATTTAAGATTTTTATGTAACTACCAGGGCGACATAATCGCATCAGCGACAAAGCCCTTTATATATGAATAAAAAAAAAAAAAAAAAAAAAAGAATAAAATTAAAATGACGTGGAGTATAATTAACAGTGAAACCGGTAAAGACAAACCTCGTAACTCAAACTATCAATCAAAAATTAACAATGAATTGACTAAATCAAATCAAGAAGTCGCAGTGGTGTTTGAGAAATATTTCACTGATATTCCTATCTTGACAACAGAGTCATTGAATACTTCTCCAACTGTTGCCGAGTCATTACTCAAACAGAATGTTAATACCTGTTTAAAAGAATTTAGATTTGAAAAAGTATTACTGCAAGATATTGTAAAATACTTCAAAACCATTGATGTAAAGAAAACCGCTGATTTGTGGGGGATTTCCATTACAGTTATTGCGTCCATAATAGATTTAATTGCACCTCATCTTGCTATCATTTTTAATACTTGTATCGATTCTGGTGTATTTCCTGATTTAATGAAGTATAGTAAAAGTAATACCTTTATGTAAATCTGGTAGTACATTGGACCCCACTAATTTTAGACCTATTTCTGTACTACCAACTCTCAGTAAAATTTTTGAAAAAATAATTTTGGATCAATTGTTAATTTTTTTTTAATACAAATAAATTACTTCATAAAAACCAATTTGGTTTTACAAGGGGTCGCACGACGTCTGACGCCGGTGTTGAGCTTATGAAATATATTTTTAATGCCTGGGGGAATTCACAAGATGCCTTAGGTATTTTCTGTGATCTTTCCAAGGCTTTCGATTGTGTTCATCATGAGACATTAATCAGGAAACTACAACATTACGGTGTAAAATATTTAGTGCTTAGATTTACTACTTCACATTTAAGTAACAGAACTCAAAAAGTCGTGATCAATGGTAAAGCTTCCTCCAGATCAGTAGTATCAAAGGGCGTTCCTCAGAGCTCGATTCTTGGCCCATTCCTGTTTTTAATCTATATTAATGACTTACCTTATCTATGACAAATTATTTATTATTAATATCAATTTTTTCATTATCTAAGAAATAAATTATTGATAATAAGTTTATAATATAAGGCTATGGTAGCATGTGGCCTTCTGGTACAAGTATTTTAAATACTTAAAAGGAGATCTCAACTATAACACTGTATCAATTTACAATGTACTTATTACCCCATAATAATAATTATTATTATCATAATGAAAAATGATAATATATATTCAAATGTCTTTCTAGATACCTATGATTTGAAAACAGAAGCTTTTATTTAAATGTAAAAAATTAAAAATCATGATTGTGTGGTACCTGTTATTTCCACCTTTTTATATCGAGCAACATCTGCAGAAAAAGACCTCACACTTTCACAACCTTCTGCATGTATAATCTTAGTATAATCGATCACCTTCAGCTTAGGATTCACAAAAACCTACGAAATTGAAATACTTAAAATTAAAAAAAGAAACTTTCAATATGTAACTATAATAATTCCACTCAAAATGAGCAGTAATCCGAGAAGTATACTTACTCACAGTCAAAGGTATAACGCTCATACCCCTCATCTTTACGATGGCTGGTGAAACATATGAGATTTCTTTTGATGTATGTCTCATAACGAAAATTCTCTTATTTACACCAATTTGAGGGGCTGACATTCCAACGCTACCGTATTTATTGAGAACATGTTCAAGCCTCTTAATTAAAGTTTGTACCTCACTGTTTTTTATTGTATCGACAGGCACCGGTTCAGAAGCTTTACGTAATGTAGGATCTCCTATTTGAACTACGTGCTCATATGGAGGTGATGTTCTACCACGGCCTGGTGATAATTTAGCATACCAGTTGAGTGTTTTTCTAATCACTCCCATATCTGATATTTTGTTAAATCCTACTGTATCCTCGGATTCCAAATCAATTTCCTATTATATTTATAATTCTTTTTCTTTATATTTTTTTTATAGCTAAAAACTATATCTATTTTTTTTTTGGAGTTTATGGCCTGGCATCTAGACCTTTAGGCCAAAAACTATATCTATATCTCGACAGTCGACACTAGGCTTGGGCAAAAAATATCGAAATATCGATAAGAATAATACGATAATAAGAATATCCATATATATATATATATATATATCATCGATATCGAATTCGTATCAATTTCGATATATTTTAAAATGTTGTACTAATGACAAAACATTTAATAACAAAAGAAAGTACAAAAGTATTCATTTGTGGTTGTTTGTCGTTTATTTTCATCGTCCAACCGTCAGTAATATAAAATTTTGGACCTTATTTTAATATCATGCAAATGATGACGATATATCGATATTTATCACGCGATATATATCTTTACTATTTAAACATATTTTTTCATTTTTTCCCTTGCACACATATACCTTGCACATCAGCAGTGGACGCTGCCAATTATTGCTTTATTTTTGGCTCTGGGTTCTAGCCCTTCTGAGACAATTATTGAATTTATTGATACTTATACAGATAAATTAAAATTATAAGATTCACATTCAATATCGGAGCAAAGTTGTTTAAAAAGAACGCATCTCTATTTCTATTATTTTGTTATGGCAATACAGTTTGAGTCCTTTAGGCCCGCCCTATACAAACGGAATTCCGTTTCGGGATTCCAATTCGGAATTCTGAACGGGTCGGCCACACACATACGGAATCCCGTTATGCCCGCAAAATTTCGAACGGAAAACTACCGTACGTGTGTGACGGGTCATAAATTTTATATGAACTTGCTGCGGTCGAAATCCCTAATCGGAATATCGAAACGCAATCCCGAAACGGAATTCCGTATGTATGTGGCGGGCCTTAATAGTATAGCTGAAAAAAAACTAGTTGATTTACCAAAGTCTTCGTATTCATAATAAAAGTTGCCATTTTGTTGGAAAATCAGAAAGTTGTGCATACAATTTAGTATAGTTTTTCGTCTTTAATGTTCACATGTTTGCTGATGTTTATATTTTGTGAATTGATGAAAAATCGATAAACATTTCTATAACCTCACTTTTCTGCTTATTCAAAAATTGTTAAAATTGGGGTGTCAATAATTGGTACTATGCAAATAGACCACACTACCTATTATCAATATAGTATATCTTTTTTTAATTTATTTTTAATTTTTTAAAAACGTTACCTCCACACTAGGATTTCCCACTCCTGTATCGTGGATATATGTCACTGTTTGAATTCATATAATTATTTATTTTGATGGAATGTGGATGAATTTTGTACAAAAACTATTTGTTATAAGGACAGGAATCATTTTTAATTCAAATTTTGACACTGTGTCAATAATTTAATATCCTGTCGTAGACAGAGAAACCAATAGATAGCGTGACATAGACTTAGGATATTATACTGGCGTAGCGTGATATGTTTTGTTTCATTCACAAAATAAAGGACGCATATACTTAGTCGGGTCATAAGTTCTGTCAAAACTTTATTATTTCAAATTTTTGAATTCTCGCTAGATGAACTTCACCAATTTTAAAAATATAACGTTTGCGCTTGCCGAAAATAAAAAAAACATTAATTTTCAGTAATTTTCAAATATGGAGTGGTCGAATGGTATGTGTATATGGTATGTCGAATGGTAGCGGTTATCGTGTTGCACCGCTGTGGTAACGCGCCAAAAGATTTTTAATATTCCACAAAAATTGAAAATAACCCTACGATTTGTTTATCGCCCTATCAAACAATTCATTGAAGATTCAAGCTTTGAAGATCGTAAAAGGACCGGCCGACCCCGTACAGTTAGGACAGCCACGATCAGCAAAGCAGTGAAGGCACGAATCCGACGAAATCCTGTTCGTAAACAAAAAATCTTAGCTCTTCAGATGGGCTCAAGCAGAACCACGATCAAAAAAGTGATCAATGAAGACCTAGGAGTACAAGCTTGTCGTAAGAAGACCGGACATGTTTTGAACGAGCGTTTGAAAAAAAATTAGGCTGGATCATTGAGTTGTATGTACTACGTACTAGAGAAGCTATTCCAAACAAAAATTGTGCACTACTCTATGTCTTCACGCATGCTCGGGAGATAGTAGAGTCGCGCATGCGCGAAGACTTTAATCTTTATTGATCTTTATTTATAAAAATGACGTGTCACGTTGTTTGTCCGCGATGAACTCTTAAGCTACTAAACTGATTTCAATGAAATTTGCACACTCTGTGCAGTTTGTTAAGAGATAGGATAGGTTTTTATCCTGATAAGGGGCACTCAATATTTTTTTATTACGAATTTAAGGATTTTTTATATGAAGGATCGTCGAAAAGGACAGAACAACGTCTGCCTGGCCAGCTAGTTATATATATATATATATATATATATATATATATATATATATATATATATGTGTATGTGTGCGTGTGTGTGTGTGTGGTCATTGTCATTGGCTAGTGGTCAGGGTATGAACCAGTGTTTTAAATTATTAAAATCCATTGTAAAATTAAAGAAACATCCTCCATTAGACAAGTTAAATCGTTTCTAATCAATTATGTCCTTAGGTGTAAACTAAGAACATCTTTCATACGAATTATTAAATTATTACTGTAGCATATTATGTCGGTATAATAATAACGGTTTCTACGCCTACCTTGTATTGGATGAATAAATGATCGTTTACCGTTTCGGTGTGTTTAAATAAACCCCTCCCGTATTCCTTGAATAGCAAGGACATTACAGTGGCGACGAGTTTATTTTGTGTGTTAATAATCGATTAACCAACAGTAGAAGTCACGCGTTAAAATGTCTATCTATGGGAAAGTGCCAGTTTTCGATTGCAAAACAGATGAGTGGGTGGTACACGTAGCACAACTATACAACTTCTTTATTGCAAATGGAATCGACGATATCACAGATGTTCAAAGAGTGAGAAGACGGGCAATTTTATTAAATGGCATGTTACAAGATTCATATCGTCTTACTCGTGATTTATTGTATCCAAATACGCCTGAATCAACCTATTACAAGGTGATTGTTGCTACGCTTGACGGCCATTTCGACCCAAAAAAGTGTATATACGATGAAAGACAAAAGTTTTGTTCGGCTAAAAAGGACCCTCACGAGTCGATGGTGGAGTATGCTGCTCGTCTTCGTGGACTAGCATCGGCATGTTGTTTTGGTACAGCTCTAGAGATGTGTTTGACGGATCGTTTTGTACTTGGTCTTGACTCTGCGTCTGCCCGAGGGAAATTATTTAGAGAAGATCCCAATCAGCTAAAACTAAATAAGGCACTTGAAGTAGCTTGTGCAGTTGAAAGTGCGCAGCGTATTGTTTCCGCTAGCGATTCGGCTGAGTTAATTAAGTCTGAACCTGTGCTGTATACGAACTCGCAGCGAAAAGCTACTGCAAGCGGCGGTACACGAGGCGGTCGCGCCCGTGGTGGCAGCGACGGCGGAGCCCTCAGGTGTAGTGTGTGTGGTGCGAGGTCACACGATACCTCCGTATGTGGCTATCGTCATCTGTCGTGCAATTTGTCTGGTGCAAAAGGACATTTAAAAAGAATGTGTTCTAAAAGATACTACGTACATAACGAGATCACAACCAAAAAGGACGAAATTGTAAAAAAACCGGCCAAGTGCGAGTCGGACTCGAGCACCTAGGGTTCCGAACAAATACGGAGGTATATAAGTTTAAAATTATTAAAAATATTTTTATTATATGATGTAACTAAAAATTTATGCTTTTCGCAATTTTTCCTTTATCTGTGCTATAAAACGTTGCTTCGTAACAAATTTCAAGATTCTGAGTTCACGGGAAGTACCCTGTAGGTTTTGATTCCCTTGCGAATGTCGAAAATTTGCGGCTTAAACGACTGTATCTTTTGATTGCGTTGGCTTAGAAGTTTGATTTTTTCACAGCTCCAAGGGACAGTAGACTTGAGTATTTAATATAAATTTCAGCTTGATACCACGCGTTCTTGAGAAAACGGGTCTTGACAGACAGACAGACAGACAGACAGACAGACGGACGGACAACAAAGTGATCCTATAAGGGTTCCGTTTTTTCCTTTTGAGGTACGGAACCCTAAAAAGCAGCATAATGGTATGCAGAATAATTACATTTTGGAATGTAGTGATAGTGACGAAAGTAATGATTTTTCACCAATTAATAATGTTAGAGATATAAATAATGAATCACGTATTAATACTATTTTATGTAAGGAAGAAAAACCGATATCTCTTGAAGTTATATTGCGAGGTGTTACTCTTAGTATGGAGGTCGATTCCGGTAGTGGGGTTTCAGCGCTGCCGGCGCGCATATGGCATATGTATTTCTCGCGAGACTTGTCGCTCCACTGAGCGAGGACTCACTAGTCCAATAAAACTTTATATACATACAGTGGTTCTGCTTTAAGGCTATTGGGCATGTGCTACTTACCAGTCACATATAATAATGTAACGCATAATATAAAATTTTATGTTGTTGAAAATGGCCCGGTTCCCTTACTCGGTAGGGACTTTATGACAAAATTTAATTTCGCTTTTATCTCATTAAATTATTGTTCAGTAGATAAAGAAAAATTTATTTTGTCGAAATATAAAACATTATTTTCTGGTAGTTTGGGTACGTTCAATAAGTATAAGTTAACGCTACACTTAGAAGAAGGTGTCACACCAAAATTTTTTAAAACTAGGCCGGTGCCTTTTGCGCTCAAAGATAAGGGAAGCGCAGAATTGGACCGATTAGTGCCCGCTGGCATACTCAAATCGGTTTCTTATTCTAATTACGTAAAATAATGACGTACGTATTTGCGGCAATTATTCTATGACGATCAATAAGGCCTTAATGATTGACTCTTATCCATTGCCTAAAATAAGTGAGTTATGTGCATCGTTACACGATTGTCGTTACTTTAGTAAGCTTGATTTATCAAATAGTTATAATCAGTTCCTTCTAGATGATGAGTCACTAAAATGTACATGTATCAATATGCATAAAGGTCTTTTTGTTAATACGAGATTAGTGTTCGGTTTGTCAAATGCGCCAGCTTTGTTCCAGCGTGCTATAGTGCAACTGCTGCGGAGCATAGATGGCGTGGAGTGTTTCCTCGACGACTTGTTAATCGCGGCTCCAACCTCCGAATTACATTGGGAACGTGACGATTTGGTATTAAGTCGTCTAAGAGACGCCGGGATAATGCTCCAGCGGTCGAAATGTTCTTTCTTCCAAAATAAAATAGAATATTTGGGTTTTGTTATTGATCGTTTTGTTATTGCAAGACCCGCCGCAGAAGAACACAAAAACTCTCCGATCACACTCTTAATCTCATGGCTGTTAGACGGGAGATGAAGCTACATTCTTCAACAGATTTGACAGCATACAGGCAACTGAACAGACAGATCTCCAAATGCTGCGGCGGGACTTACGCAACTTCAATACAGCTTGTATTGAAGAAGCGATCGAGCGGAACCAAGGCTCCAAAGTCTTTTCCAGAGATCTGTCTGCCAGAAAGAGCCAACTGTCAAAGCTGAGGACCGAGTGCGACAGCATCGTTTCCGGGGCACCTGAGATTTTGAGTGAGATTGAGAGGTTCTATGGGCAGCTGTACACGTCATCGTTGGAGCCACACGCTAGTGTGAGTAACGATCCAAGAGCGAGTCTTATCCGACACTATTCCGAAGATATCCCGGACGTCAGTCTGAGCGAGATTCGAATGGCTCTCCGGCATCTTAAAAACGGCAAGGCCCCAGGCGAGGATGGAATTACAGCGGAGCTTCTGAAAGCGGGTGGAAAACCGGTACTTGAAGTCCTTCAGAGGCTCTTTAATTCCGTCCTCCATGGTGACATTACACCGAAGGCGTGGAGCAGAAGTGCGGTGGTCTTGTTCTTCAAGAAAGGTGACAACGCTCTTTTGAAGAACTACAGACCGATTTCTCTTCTGAGCCGTGTCTACGTGCTGTTTTCGAGAGTCATTACGAATCGTCTCGCGCGCAGACTTGACGACTTCCAGCCTCCCGAACAAGCCGGTTTCCGAAAGGGCTTTAGCACCATAGACCACATACATACCCTACGGCAAATTGTACAGAAGTCCGAAGAGTTACAATTTGCCACTATGTCTGGCGTATGTGGACTATGAGGAAGCCTTTGATTCCGTCGAAATTTGGGCGGTGCTGTAGTCCCTTCAGCGGTGCCAAGTTGACTGTCAATATATCGAAATGCTGAAGTGTTTGTACAGTAGAGCTACGATGGTTGTCCGAGTACAGAACCAGAGTACGAAACCTATCCAATTGCAGAGAGGTGTAAGACAGGGTGACGTTATATCCCCGAAACTCTTCACCGCTGCATTGGAAGACGTTTTCAAGCTTCTGGACTGGAAAGGATACGGTATTAACATCAATGGCGAGTACATCACTCACCTTCGATTTGCCGACGATATAGTCATAATATAGACAGGCAGAATCGTTGGAGGACCTAAACACCATGCTTAATGACCTCAATAGTGTCACCCAACGGATAGGTCTTAAAATGAACATGGACAAAACAAAGATCATGTTCAATGTCCATGTCACACCTATGCCGGTAGTTGTTGGGAGCAATAAGCTCGAAGTTGTTGACGAGTATGTTTACCTGGGACAAATAGTGAGACTAGGTAAGTCCAACTTCGACCGAGAGGTCAATCGACGGATTCAACTCGGCTGGGCAGCGTTCGGGAAACTACGACACATCTTCTCGTCAGACATACCTCAAAACCTTAAAACAAAATTGTACAACCAGTGCGTGTTGCCAGTATTGACTTACGGTTCTGAGACGTGGTCCTTCACTGCTGGCCGTATGAGGAAGCTCAAGGTCGCTCAGCGAGCTATGGAGAGGGCTATGCTCGGGGTTTCTCTGCGTGATAAACTTAGACATGAGTATATCCGCAGTAGAACCAGAGTAACCGACATAGCCCAACGGATTAGTAAGCTGAAGTGGCAGTGGGCCGGCCATATAGTTCGAAGAACCGACAACCGATGGGGAAGAAAGGTTCTTGAGTGGCAGCCTCGTACCGGTAGGCGAAGTGTAGGGCGACCCCCCACGAGATGGAGTGACGACCTGGTAAGACATGCAGGAAGTCGATGGATGCAGGTGGTTAGGACCGTGCTTTATGGCATTCCTTGGGAGGGCCTATGTTCAGCAGTGGACTTATGAAAGGCTGTAATGGTGATGATTGATCGTTTTGGCATTCATAAAAATCCGGATAAAATAAAGGCAATTATTATATATATTACACAAGCGAAGGAGCCAGGAAACGTCCGACAAATAAAATCATTTTTGGGTTTAGTTAACTTTCACCGTAATTTTATACCGCAAGCGGCGGTCATTCTTGAACCATTACATAATTTACTGCGAAAAAATATGAAATGGGAATGGACGGCGGAACATCAGAAATCATTCGATGCTATCAAAGACGAGTTATGTTCAAGTCGCGTACTGGTGCACTTTGACCTGCGGCAGCAACTAGTTCTGACAGTGGACGCGGCGCCCGGCGGGCTTGGCGCGGTGCTCACAGTGCGAATCCCCGCGGGTGCCGAGCGCCCGATCAGTTACGCTTACACTAAAAGTGAGCGTGGCTATAGTCAAATTATGAAAGAAGCGACTGCCATTATTTATGGAATCAAAAAATTCCATCAATATCTTTATGGCCGCCAGCAACCATTTATTTTGAGAACAGACCACAAGCCCTTCCTTTCTATTTTCTCCTCCGATAAAGGAGTTCCTCATATGTCCGAAGCGAGACTGCAACGGTATGCTTTATTTCTTGCTACCTATAATTATAAATTTAAGTTCATTAATAGTGAATCTAATGTAGCTGATTATTTGAGTCGGTTTCCCATTGATTATGATTCGTCGCAGGATATGGCGGACGTAGATGACGTCACCAGTTATGTTAACACGCTAGTGGCTGCTGGCGTGCCACTGCCCGCTTCATTAGACAAGTTGCGGGCAACCTTTCATAAAGATAAATTTCTGTCACCTGTCATGCAATATGTGACCAAATCGTGGCCACGGAAAGTGTCATCAGAACTTTTGCCATATAATAGATGCCAGCGTGAATTATATGTTGATAGCGGAGTTCTCATGAGAGGTCACAAAATTGTAATGCCTACTGTTTATAGGGCTGCTGTGCTACAAGAACTGCATGCTGCGCACTTAGGAGTAATTAAAATGAAAATGATTGCTAGAGAACGCTGTTGGTATCCGGGTATCGACAGTGACATAGAAAACATGGCTTCTAACTGTGGTCGTTGCATATCCTTGTGACCGTCTCCTGCGAAAGCGCGCTTGGAGCCGTGGGGGTGGCCTGACTCTGTTTTCGAAAGAATCCATTTAGATTACCTCGGCCCAATTCATGCAAAGATTTTTCTTGTACTAGTCGATGCGCATTGTAAGTGGATCGAATGCAAATTAATGTCAAATTTTTTATCAAAAGAGCTTACTAATAAATTAAAACAATTTTTTTCACGTTTTGGCATTCCCAATAAAATAGTCACAGACAATGCCAAAACCTTTGTTTCGTCTGAATTTTCTGAGTACTGTACTGATAATGGCATAACTCACATTTTGTGACATGTGAATCAGTTAATGTCAGCCAAATCATATAACAGCAGTCGTGGTGAAGACGTTTGAGGATATGGAAGTTGGGAGCACGGCAGATCCCAGTGCCGCCTCTCATGATACACTGGCGTCATTACCTCTCAATAGCCCATGCGGTGCGCTAGCCGCGCAACCACTGGGACCTGACGGCGGTGAGGCGGCACCGGTGCTGACGCACGCGGAGTCTGATATGGAAGACGTGTCCCCACCGCCTCAAACCTCCACGACCATGCGCACTCGATCTGGCCGTGCTATAAAACCACCTAAACGCTTAATTTTATAATATTTATACTTACTAAATGTAATGTAAACATTTGTTTTGTTTATGATTACTTTTTGTGTATTCATAATAAACGTGGAGGAGAGGTGTTAAAGTCGAGTGATTAAAGTAAATTTTTTTTATTATACATAAAACAATGTATGTATTGTACTATATGTCGTTTTGATTTTATTTTATGCTAAATCGTGTAAGCACAACATGTCCATCAATTATACTACTTAAGCGTTTGTTGTAACTGTTTATATATAGTATATTACGTTGTAATATAAGTATGGAGGGATGTAGCATATTATGTCGGTAAATAATAATAACGGTTTCTACGCCTACCCTGTATTGGGTGAATAAATGATCGTTTACGGTTTCGGTGTGTTTAAATAAACCCTTCCCGTATTCCTTGAATAGCAAGGACATTACAATTACCGACACTGAAATGATAATAATTACATAAAGTTATCATTTTAAAATATACAATATCGTAGAGATGCACAAAGTAAAATCTAGTGTCAGCATTTGCTAATAAAACATTGTTGTGTAAGCGGACTATTGACATTTATTTATAAGATGTAGGGACCTACAATCGATTTAGTATTTCATAGTTTCTTTCAAATCCAATTTATATCTTACATAATTTAAAATTTGACGCTTTGAAGAACTGCTTTGCTATATTCACTGTTTATGCAAGATGGTCAAATTAGTTGATTATGTTTATTGAATTGTAAGAAATTATTCTCATGCTACGTCTCAAGTCACTCAATAATGTATAGTTTTGCAATAGCATACTTTAACAATTTACAGTCGCAAAAGGCATATTCAAGTAGTTAATAGCTAAAATAAAATTTTTATACTTTTGAATTTGAAGTAATCGTCTAAAGATTTGAGGTATTATTGGTCTATGTCACTTCTGTTACTCACAGGCGAAGGGCCCTACAGTCACAACGATCGGCTACCGCATTTTATTGCGAGGCCAATTTACTTCTTGTTTTTTTTCTGGTTTTTGCTTGAGTGGCGTTAATGTGATGTTAAGTAATATACATTCAAATCGTCTATACGTACACCACATATTAAATATCACGACCATAGAAAGCTGCACTTTTTCCAACGTGACTTGAGGCAAGAATGTATCGAGTTCAAGCCTGCGTTGCATAAAGAAGTAACCTATAATGAATATAAATACATAATACATTAAATCCATCTATTGAGATATAAAGGAATCAGTAAAGCACAATTTGTTTATGTTAGGGAAGAAATCTATACAAATAAATGAAAATTAAGTGTCTGCTTGTAATGTCGAAATAACAGCTTTTTACTAGATGCATATGAAAGTATATAAGGTACTTATTATAAAAACACAATTTTTAAAATTTTTGTATTGTCGTTGTCGGTCTGTTTATTCCGGCTAATCTCCGAAATGGCTGGACCGATTATGACGGGACTTTCACTGACAGATAGCCGATGTTATAAGGAGTAACTTAGGCTATTTTTAATTTAGAAAAACAAATTAAAACCCTAAATTACACGCGTGCGAAATCGCGGGAAACAGCTAGTTTAATATAAAATAAGATATTGATACAAAATATATATACGAATTTAATATAAAATACTCTTATTTTAATCTAAGCAAACATATTTCTAAATAAAATGTAATAATAATTATCTTATGGAATTCACAAAATCTTCAATTTACGCAATGTTTAGTTTAGTCTACGGATTGCAGTACAGTTCAGTTGAACATACTCAATGTTCGGAATGCGCAATCTAGTGCGTAGTACATATATATCGATGGGCTGGATAAATCCCTCGCTTTGATACGGCGGTACGCGGGAAAAAAAGCCGCAAAATTATGTTTTCGGATGTAAATATTTTTAACATCGAAGAAAGTTATAACAAACAAAACGATAAGGTGTATGCCCACAGCAGTGAAGAAGCCAGCACACGTATTCCGAGGGTTCAACGAGGACGTTATCCTTCGTCACTCATGGTTTGGCTTGGAGTCTCATATTCAGGCTTAACTGAGGTGTTTTTCTCTGAAAAAGGTATAAAAACCAGTGCCGAGGTGTACCAAAATACCATCCTAACAAACATAATCCAACCTCTTTCTCAAACAATGTTCAACAGACATTGGATATTCCAACAGGACTCTGCACCAGCTCATAGGGTACGAAGCACTCAAAATTGTTTGACCGCTCGTGGAATTGACTTTATCGGACAGGAAGACTGGCCCTCTTCTAGTCCAGATTTAAACCCACTGGATTACAAGATATGGCAACATTTGGAGGAGAAAGTCTGCGCTAAACCTCATCAGAATGTGGAATCTCTCCGAGCATCTTTGGCTAAAGCAGCAGCAGAAATAAATATGAATGTGGTGCGTGCTGCGATTGATGATTGGCCGCGTCGATTAAGGCCATGTATTCAAAATAGGGGAGGGCATTTTGAATACTGTCAATAAAATTGTATTCTAAATTACCTTTAATTTCATATATAATTTCTATATAATTATTAAAAAGTGTATCATTAATTTTATAAAAAGTTTTTGACAGAACTTATGACCTGACTAAGTATTACATTAGCACTTGTAAGAAAGAAATAGCTACTATATTGTTGTCCTTATTCCCGTACCTCCTAACATGTTGTTTCAGTGTGTCCATATGTGGCAGGTTTCTGCAATTTTGGCAGGATTGGCAGAGGCCAATCCTGGCCTCAAGGGAAATCAAGGTTAAAATAAGAGCATTTTAGCTTCTGGCATGATCGGTTGACGGTTTATAAAACCTGGCAGTATTTGGCAGTAGGGTAGTTGGGGTATTATAAATAAATTTCATTATGGCAATTTAAAATGCCGAAAATGGCAACTCTAGGTACTTTGGTGGCATGTGGGTAATTTCCCTGTACTTCTAGTGTTATATTTCTATAACATTCATAAACAACTTTAAAAGTTTGGGTGTAAAGTTGATAATTTTAAAACGAGTATTCATAAACACGAGTTTATTGTTAATATTACAATCAGTCAAAGAGAAGACGTATTTTAGTTTAGTATTATGGTTGTAGCACGAATGGGTCGGCTTGACCGAGGATGGACGAAGCTCTCACAGAATTAGAGGTGGGTGATGCAAACCGTATACTGATTCGAAATCTATATAATGGTACAATATCTGAAAATCCATTGCTGGTTCGTTTCAAAACTATGTATTACAAAATCTGGTATTTGCGCACCCCTGTTATGCCTATATCGCTTCGCATCGGTCGGTAGCTAGATTCGCCGTGTGTGACAGAGCTCGAGCGATATAGGTATTATACTGATTCTTTTGAAAACTATGTTTTACAAAATCTGTAATTTGCGTACCGCCGCGATGCCTATATCGCATCGCATCGCTTGGTGGCTAGATATAAATATTAAAGTTTAATTTCTGTTGCCTAATAATGATACATTTCAAATGTTATTGTTTTTAAAGCCTAAAATCGAGTGCATATTATATTATTTTATTTATAATTTTCAATTTATTTTTAGATCTACCCGAATAAATGTAGTGCAAGGAGATAGTTACCCTTTTTATTATTTTAAATACCTATTGTTTTGTATTTTAATTGAACTAATTATAACTATTTAATCAATTTCATTTTTTTTGTAGGAGAGGGGGCAAACGGGCATGCGGCTCACCTGATGGTAAGTGACTACCGCCGCCCATGAACAACTGCAACACCAGGGAGGGAATTGCAGATGCGTTGCCGGCCTTTTAAAAAGGAGTACGCTCTTTTCTTGAAGGTCCCTAAGTCGTATCGGTCCGGAAAACTATTTTCAAAAAAGAATAACAGACTTTTAAGAAGATAATATGTACATACATACGGGTCGAATAAAGACTTTCCTTATTTTGAAGTTGTTTTCAACAACGTATCGGAGTAGAAAATATAAACGTGTACGCAGAATATCTAGATATTGAAATATATAGTTTTGATATCAGATATTCAGATTCAAAATCTGATATAGGTACGATTCTCAGAAAACGCAATACGACCCAGGCCTACACAGAATAGCAGCGTGAAATAGCAGCTTAATGTTGCTATGTTTCGTATGGTAAGTGTAGAGAACAGGAGATCCTTTTTACTGGAAATGAGGCATTCCATTTTAGTCCTCGGGGGTGACAACACATTTGCAGTTTGATTCCTAATTGAAGATAAATGTAGATGTTTATGGACCGCAGCATTCACTTACTATCAGGTGGTCTGTGTCACTCTTTTTCTATAAAAAAAACTGTAAATTAGCATCCCGGCTGTCCGCTTTAAAGAGCATGCCGCTACTAGTAAACATCAAAAAGTATGACTGGATTCAGCAGGCAATAGAATATTCTCTCAAATAAATTTAATTAAGACAAAAACACGAAACATAATTATAAACAAACATGTAGGCATCTATCTTGCACGATAAGCAAGGCATTGGTGAGTATGGCGATTGCATTGCATTCAAACCAGCGAAAGATATGTTTAATTTTAATTTAATGAAAATATAGCATTTAAATGTGTATTTTTACTTTTCTTAGTTTAATACAATTATACAATGGTAAATAAAGTTGGGAGAATTTAGACATTTTTCACTACAGACTTTGGCAGAATTTGGCAGGATTTTAACCAAAGTAAGGCAGGATCTGTATTTTAAAGATGGTCACACTGAGTTGTTTCGCAGTAAATCGATGGCAGCAAAGTAGAATCAGACATCTACAAAATCGTAGTTTTACAGGAGAGCAGCATTTTATACATTTAGCATGAATATACATGTACTTCGTACAAACTGGAACCCGCAATAACACGCACCCGAAATTAAAAATACAAGAAAACGGCCTTGAAATTTTTTATTACCCCTCAGTCTCTTTCTAATTAGGGTGAACACAAAATACAAGGATTGGGGTAATATTATGGGGATAATCAGTTTATTTTTATTACATTCATTTATAAAATTTTAATTTATTTGAAAATATTAGAGTTCCATTGAAACGCATGATATTAGAGAAATTCATAAGGCCGAAGCAGCGGGCGGAAGTTTATTATTTAATATTATTTAATCGTGTACTTTTTTTGTCAACAAACGAATAAACGAATGAACGGGCTGAACGGGCTCAATATACAAAACTTGAACTAAATCTAAAGTAAGTTTTGTACGAAAATGAACAAAAAATTCGTTTTCCAATACAAAATGTGTCGGTCACGTGACCAATTTAGTATGGGAAGTCAAAGTTTTTTTTTAATTTCCACAAAGAAATCCCTTCAGTACTTTACTCAGGATGATGGTTCATGGTTAAAGTCTTTACATCCCTTATAATGTAACATTAGGAAATAATTAAACTAAAATAATAATAGTTTTAATTTACATTTATTATTACAATAGCAATAGTGTCTACAAATTTAAAATATACAATAATAATAATTAGAGGTGAATGTTTTAACAACAACTCAATTTTTATACGTGATGTTCATATTTTCTTTTTCCGTTTCCAAAATGTTTCGAAGTAAAGACCGTGGTTTTTTTTTTACAAACATTTACATTTTCTTTTGTAGCATCCCGCAGCGGCCAAGATTCCTGAAAAGACACGAAAATCTGATTTTCCACCACTGAATAACAATATATTTATTACACATTAAGGTAGCAAGTTAATAATAATAATAATCATTTATTTCAGGCAATATTTACATTACATGATGTTAATTAATGTAAACAGTGGTAGAGGCACGCGGCAACTTTTGCTGTCGCACGGATGTGCCGGCTCGAACCGGGGTGGTACCACGACCTCACAGAAAACCAGCGTGAAGTAGAGGTTTATCTCTGCGTTTCGCTTGGTGAGTGCAGGTGGCCGGAGGCCCTTTTTACTGGAAATGAGGCATTCCATCTTAGTCCTCACGGGTGACAACGCATCTACATTTTGATTTGTAATAGAGGATTGATGTAGATGTCTATGGGCCGCAGCAACCACTTACCATCAGGTGGACTGTGAGCTCGTTTCTCACCCTAATCCTATAAAAAAAAAACCAGAAGTCCATAGAAAAACATGTAAATGACTAATTGTGTAAATTAAAAGAGCACTTACATGACTGCAAGATGGCACGTCTAACATAGTTTCCCAGGATCGTTTAGAAGCTGCACTAGTTGCATATTCGTCATTTGACTGCAAATATAATTAAGTATTAAATTGAACACGTGACAGTGTTTTCTCATCGTTACTTTAAAATATAATATCTACTGTGCTTTTTTATTTATTTTTAACTGTTACATTAATTATAGGTTTTATTACATATCTTCAATATTTTAGTGCGATGTTCATACCTACATAAAACACACATAACCAACCAAATCCCCATACACACACACACACAAATGCACACGCCTCGCCACATTTTATACTCGTAGAATCATACATCAATAGGTACGTCAATATGAATGAAATATAAAATCTCCCACATTTTTTGGGTAATCGAATCGCACTTTTATTACCGAAGTCACGTACATTAATGCAGCCATGGTACGTAAGATATGCGCATCACGTGGTACTCATGCACACATGAATCAAAGACTGGCATCAATATGAACGGTGCGGTGTGTTACCAACACGGTATCTGGACCTTTAAAACATCTTTTTTTGTAACACATTCAATTTTTAAAAGTTTTACAAACTTTAGGTGTAAAAAAGTATAGGTGTAAAGTTGATAATCTTAAAACGAGTATTCGTAAACACGAGTTAATGGTTTATATTTCCATCAGTCATAGAAGAGTTTTACTTTAGTTTGTTATCGTATTAGATTTCGTGGTGACAATATCTTGTTAGCGATATTTTGTTAGGTAATGATGTTTCGTGGACGATAGTAATTATTGGTGGTGATGATGAAGCGAAAATATGAAAGGCCGTATATAACGGAGTAGAGTAAGGTTCCTCCTACTTTCATCGTGGATCCTCAAAGCTAAATATAATCAGATCCAAATTGGCATCCCGGCTGTCTGCTTTAAAGGAGCATGCCGCTGCTAGTAAACATAAAAAAAACATCCGCGAGTGTCATGGAAAACTCGATTGGAACGAAGTTCCTTTCGTAGTGTATTATTATTGATAAACGTATTATATTATTGATTAACAAATACAAATAAATGAATTATTAGCGTCTAAAAATGAAGCCTCATTTTAAATAAAATAATATTTAATATTCTTTCATGGCAAAATAATAAAAAGTACGAGGGAGATGGATATTATTTCATCTCCCTTTCTCAGGCCGTCTACACACGTCAGAAGGGGTCGTGACTGAAAATATCTTACAATTTTTCTCGCCTAGTCCCCATCCGCCAAATTCGTACTGTCCGATAAGGAACTTCGTTCAAAAAATATAAATGGATTCAACATGCGAAAGAATATTCTGTCAAATAAATCTAATTAAGACAAAAACATGAAACAGATTTAGATATAAACAAACATATAGCGTCTATCTTGCACGTTAAACAAGGCATTAGTTAGCATGGCGATTGCATTACATGCAAACCAACGAAAGATGTTTAATTTTAATTTAATAAAAATATAGCATTTAAATGTATTTTACTTTTCTTACTTTAACCCTTTCGGTCCGGCAAGGGGGTGCAGTGTCACGACTGGAGATAAAAATTAGTAGATTATTTAAAAAATCTATTTTATAATGTTAAATTTAACGCCAGGCATATGTAAAATAATTCAGATACTTTTATTGAAGCTGAAAAATTGGTTTTTTGCTGTGGTACAATATGTCCCATCAGTCTGAAAACTTATAAAATTTTCATTGCTATTTCATATAAATTACTGGACTAATTGAATTCTCAGGGGATAAAAAATTAACACTCACCAAATTAATTCTTAGTACTTTCGTTATGAAAGACACGTGATTGAATAATTTTTTCATCAATTTAGAGAGAAAAAAAAAACACATACATTTGTGGGAAAATATACTTTTTTTATTATAGGCTAAGAGATCAGTAGCAAAATTAGGTACTTTATTTTATTACTTTACTCAGGCCAAATGCCAGGGTGTGAAATAATTCTTGCACAAATATTTATTACAAGTCATACATGAGGTGTATGTGCGTGTGTCTTTTTTCTTTTGAGTGCAAGATACGCACCTTTTACGACAATTCATTTGCAGGGGCAAGTGATTTCCTATTACACCTCTTTCAACAGAACTTGTTGCTGTGGTTTGTCTTCGTTACGATTTATTTGTATTATTTTTGCCAAATTCTAACATTTCTGGAGCCAATTCAACTAAAAAGTCCTTCATAGCGCATTTCTTGTTTACTTTTTCTCTATATATTGCCCCAAGAGTTGACTATCGCCATTTTCAATAATCGATAGAATACCTTTCTCCACCACTTTTTAGATTTTCTCTCAAATTCATGTTCACCAACCATTCTATCATTTCTATCGACTCCCAACATAGCTCGTCTATAAAAAGCAACGATTTCTGGTACTGTGATAACGAAACCAGTTTTTAATTTTCTTGATACTTCAGTTCTATCAGTTCCATGACAGTTACTCATTAGGAGGACATCTTTAGTATCTTGCCATCTAACGGCGATAGTACTACGCCCGTTTTCTGCAAAAGCCATTTCGCCTTGCTTTAGTTTTTTTCCTGTCAATATTTTTGGCATGTTTTTTCGTGACATGTTGCATGTTCCTACGCAAGGAAACTGTAAGGTGTCCATTAGTGTTACAGACGTAAAAAATCTGTCAAAGCAGATTGTAGTGTCTGGATTTATTATGGTAGATGTCAGAGTTAGAACTACATTCTCTCCGAGTGTCAAGTTATTTTGTCTTGGATTGGAATCTTTTCCTACATAAATATCCATGTCATAGGCATACCCACTCCTGGCATCAGCGCGTACCCACATTTTAATGCCACGTTTCACAGGTTTCATCGGCATATATTGTTTAAGACTGGAACGCCCTTTGAATTTAGTCATTGATTCGTCAATGCTTTGTATGTAGCTGTCCTCTCTATATTTTTTAAAAGTTTTTTTTAAACAATTCAGAACATCCTCAACATAGTACGAGTACGTTTTAGAAGCATCAGTGGGTTTTTCGGGGTTAGCGAAATACAATTTTCCTAAAAGAAACTTGCATCTGTCACGACTTATGACAGCTTTTACAACAGTATTTCCTAATGATGGTTTTGTGGACCAGTAGTCAGAGAAGGATGAAAGTTGGTTATATCCCATTATAAGAGTGCAGCCCAGAACTATCGCTATTTCTCCTCTGTCAGTAGTTGTCATATAGCTTCGTTTTCGAGCTCTGCTATCTCTGTCTGCTACCTCATTTCTCGCTTTTTCAATTCTTAAATTAGTGCATTGTGCGATATAATCTAGTAGACTCTTTGGAAAAAATTTCAAAAAGATGTCTATTGGCTTTGAATTTTCTGTAAAACATTCTGACGTGCGGCAGACTCTTGGAATACTTACAGTCTTTCTTGATGTAAAATTTTCGAGTACTGGTCCCCAGGTAAAATTTGCATTGACAGGTCTTTCTGAATTGTCGTTTTGAATTTCCGAGCTTTCGTTATCTATATCTGCGTTGACTTCAACGGCAGCGCGAATGATGTCTTCCCTATTTTCTGCGCTAACATGGTCTATATTTACAGTTTCTCTAACTGCAGTATCTTCTGCTTGTAAGACATCTATTTCTTCAAGCCACTCTTCGTCATATTCTTCCTCACTACTACTAGCCAATAATTCTTCAGATCTAGAGCCTCTATGACAACCTTGAGGAGGAATGTATACATCATCACTTCCAATAGACTCATCAAAAGAACTGTCTCCGTCTTCATCAAGATACTCAGCGATGTCATCATCATTTAGACGCCTTTCTCTGTTTCGCCTTGAAGTCATCTGGAATACAATACAACATTGGGAAAGTATGCATAAAATAATTAGCAAATTTATTTATTAATTTATTTACACACCAATGTTTGAATGTTTGATTATACGCTGCCTTGAATTTCACACGCAGCCCATTAAGATTTTTTAAATCATAGGCACTATTGCGGGTTACGTACCTACCGATATACCCACTCGAGTACGAATTCCCTGTTACAAAAACTAACCACAAGCTCTTGTACTATAATTAAAAAGTTGTCAAAAGACTGATGGGACATAATGTCCCATCAGCAGTTTTTTCATGTCGTAAATAAATGTTTGCTTATTAAATTAGCTTAAATTCGAAATACTTAGAATATGTAACGTAATACGTAAAAAAACTTACCTCAAAATATCGCAAAATACACCTAAAAGCATATATTTTTCCACCAGCTGTTACGGACGTGTTTGATTATTCAACCATAGATCACAAACTAATGTTGCCAGCCTAAAACTACCTATGTCAAATTATTGAAAATTTAATACCAGACGACTTGGGATGCATTTTCCCACTTAAAAGGCAAAAATGGAGTCTCAGTCCCACGTAAACTTTCTATGGGACATAGTGTACCATCAGTCCTAAATTATTTGGGACATATGCAAACCATCCAGTCCAAAAGGGTTAATACAATTAGACAATGGTAAATAAAGTTGGCAGTATTTGGGCATTTTTCACTACAGACTTTGGCAAGACTTGGCAGGTTTTTAACTAAAGTAAGGCATGATCTGTATCATAGATAATATACTATATAGGGTAATCTGTATTTTAAAGATGGTCACACTAAACGTAATCTGTCATATTAAATTCTCATTTCTCTCTCATTCGACAATTGCGATCACGTAGTATCCACTAAGTAGTCTGTGTTGCGATCTGACAAAGTATTCACATTCGCAGTAATTATTTAAAAACATTGTTAAGCTGAAGCTGCAAGATATCCGTGGGTTCAACGTAAGTATATTATTATGTAACAGTGCATTTTTTAATATTTATTGAAAGGGTAGAACACTTGGTATTTAAAAAAAATCAGTAGTTTCAGGAGGTATTGCAATTTATTAACCGCTTACCGTCAAAATTCACAAAACCGAGTAAAATTATTTCGTAGCTTATTCGATTTACCGTCGATATCTCAAACTTAGCGGTGAAGCCGACAACTCCGCACTTCATAATAAGTAACTTTGCCCCCTTTTTAACAATAATGTTTTCATGGATATCATTATTTTAATTTTTATTGTACAACCATCAACGGTTTTTCTTCCGTTTATACTTTTATGTTTTATATTTTTACTTTTAGCTATGAACTAAATGCCGACGATGTTTATCAATAATTTATAGATTTCAGATTTTTTGAGTCAGTAAAAAATACCTTATTATAACGTTAAAACATTTGTTAGCTTTTTTCATGAAATAAGGGATTGCAGATATTCAAGCTGCTTGTCTAATAATAACCTCGTTAAACGTTCACAATTACAAGTCAATGTACAATGTTGAATCCAGATAACTTGGGATAAAGGCAAAAAGAAGAAGAATTACAACTGTTTAGGTCTAATTGTTTTTGAGTTATGGGATATGGTCAGGAAGTAGCTTGAAGTTCTTTGCGTAAATAAACACATTGCTGATGCATCACCCGTTTCTTTTTGAACTTTGCTGACATAGTGTCATGTGTCTAGATAATAGTAGACTTCAACTTTTTTTGTTTTGTATACAATATTTTATTATATACAATATTAAAAACCATTCAACTTTTTAGATCATAATTTACATGTCCAGCTGATCTGTGTACCAATATCAATAATTGTTACACTGCACAAGCTTCTATTGATAACAAGTATATTTCACCACTAATTTTCATATGTAAATGTATAAAAATTAATGTGTGTATGTTCGTATTATATGTGTTGGTATGCCGTTCATCAGATTGTGCTAAACTTATTGCTTGCAAATGCAAGAAGATTATAGGCATAGTATAATTAACATACAGTAGGTGGCACATGTATTGAACTGACAATATTATTTGATAGTTTTATATGATTTGACCTCAATGAATGTTATTATATTATCATTACTAGATAACTCTTCCAAATATAAAACAATATTTACACAATTATTTATTCTGTGGCAGCAATGTGCCAGGTACCAGCTAGTGTAGATTATAGAATATGACTAAGTGAAATACACACTACAGTATCAAAGTGAAATATACTATTTTTTTAATTTAAGATTGTGTACAAAGCCCCCTTCCCAATGGAGAGATTTTGTGCATAGCCTTAAAACACACTTGTAGTCTTCTAATTCAACCTATTACAATAAACAAGTGATAAATTTTTATGTAATACATTTTTAATGTGTACTTCCATTATCTTATTACATTATCTTACTACCTTATCTAATTCACCTTCTGGTTTTTCTGTTAGCAAATCTGTCATTGAAAAAATATAAATGATATGATAGCATTTTGTCTGATGCAACAAGTGATGATGAGATGAGATATCAACATAAAGGCTAGCCAATAGATATTCTATAATATGTATACACTGTGTCAATTAATCAAAAAATCAATGTCAAAGAAAGATTCATAGTTTGTTGTACGAAAAAATTAGCAAAAATTTTATAAATGCTTCAATAGCCCAGTTGGAAGAAATTTCAACATGGAATAAGCAGCCATATTATGTTCTTTTAACCATTTTCCTATCAAAGTATGTGTGTACAGAAACAATGAAATAAATAAATAATAAAGTGTAATACGCAGTTTTCAGTCCACCCAAATGTGCATTTATCAAAATAGTTTAAGCCTTAACATTGATAATATTCTAATCTTTATGTATACATGGTAGAGCCATGCTGCAGCTATATTAGTAGTATCGTTGTAGCACGAATGGGTTGGCTCAACCACACTCGCAGAATACCAGTGTAAAATAGCAGCTTAACGCTGCTGTGTCATATGGTGAGTGTAGAGAACCTGAGAACCTTTTTACTGCAAAAGAGGTATTCCATCTTAGTCTTCATGGGTGACAACGCATCTGCATTTTGATTCTTTATTGAGGATATATGTAGATGTCTATAGGCCACAGCAGTCACTTACCATCAAGTGGACTGAGTGCTCGTTTGTCACCCTTATTCTATAAAAAAAACACATTGTTTGTTGATGAACTCCTAAACTACTGAACTGATTTTAATGAAATTTTGTAAATGTGTATTGCTACCTCCAACTTAGTGATAGATCAAAATCAATCGTACATTTATTAAAACATATTCTGGTACAATAATTTTTATTTATTTATTTGGATGCATATACTTTATATTTTGCTCATAGCCTCCAATATTGCTAGTCTAGATATTGTATTTTCACTACTGCTCATCCTGACTGCCAAGCGTGACGACAAATATGACAAATATCTCTCGTATGAGGCAATTTATTATGAGGGACATATGTTCCAAGAATGAATGAATTGAATTGATGAATTGATCAAGAAGGCAATATTTTCAAAGAATGAATGAATTGAATTAATGAAGAGTAGGTGGAGGATGTACTTAAAATATTGAACAATGGAGAATGTGTTTTGTGTTATATTGACGTTATTGAATAATTATAATTTCCAGATGTTGAAATTAGGATTTAATTTAACAAGACACACGGGAGTAATTTTGAAACGCATGATGTCAACTCAAGAACAAGAAGTCTTATTTGAGACAGTAAACAATGCTGGCATTATCACATTAAACAGACCAAAAGTATTAAATACACTAAATGAAAACATGGCTTGTATGATCCTAGCAAAACTTCAAGAATGGGAGAAAAGCAAGAACTTAGTTATTATAAAAGGAACGGGTGACAAGGCATTCTGCGCTGGTGGGGATGTTAAAGCAGCTATAGATAAAGTAAAGGGACCAAGATTTTTTCATGTAGAATACAATGTTAACTATTTAATAGGAAAATATAAAATTCCATACATAGCATTTATTAATGGTATCACTATGGGTGGAGGTGTGGGACTCTCTGTTCATGGGAGGTACAGAATTGCAACAGAGAAAACTGTGTTTGCAATGCCAGAGACAAAAATAGGAGCATTCCCAGATGTAGGTGGTTCATATTTCTTACCAAGAATGCAAGTCAATTTGGGATTGTACCTGGGTCTAACAGGTAATTACAATGACTTAACTTTTCAATATTTCCTTATTTATGTACCTTGGTGTCAACACTTAAGTGCTAACAATAGTGTAAAAGATTATACTACTAAAAATTATCTTATATTTCTCATAATGTGAAAATAATTATCACTTGCCTATAATATTTTTTAAACAGGCATTTAAAAACAATTGTAAAATGCATTACAATATTTTTTTAGAGATTTCAAAACAATATAACCTGATACAACTTGAATTGGGAACAATTCACCTAGTAAAATACTGTTTGCTACGATGCTGGTTACCCAAAATTATGAGATATTTTTTTATTTTAGAGTTCTATATATTTAAAGAAATATATTATTATTATCATGTAGTACAAGACGAGCAGCTTATAGCCGATATGCCTATATCTGCATTGGTGTTTCATGATGGTCCAAACCCACACCATATGTGTAATAAATACTAACTAATACCTACAAGGCTGTCTCGACGTCAAGTTGTTAAAAATATGCAAGGGTTGTCACAAAAATATTTCCTTAGTTTATAATATCATAACATTATATTGCACGCCTCATAACGCGAATCGTGACTCTCAACGCGTCAAGTTCAAGCAAGAGTAGCCGTATATCAAAATAATTAACCCAACTTATATTTTCTAAAAAATCATTTTATAATGCTGCTTTGATTAAAACTATGAAATTTTTTTACGTGTACGTCCAGATGTATTTGTATGTGGTCACGACAACTCCCGAAAAAATTGACCTTACGAGACCGGGTTTTTTTTTATTAGCTTTTTTATATCAGAATTCGTCAACTGGCTCCCTATTTCATATCAATAGCCTAGTACGCGTCGTTTGTTAATATAATGATTTTCAACTTTTATACATTTTATTGCTATTAAAAATTTAAAGGCACTTTCATTTTCTTTAGCCATTGGTAGACAAATAGTATTATATCGATTTTATACTTTGTGTAATCGATTTATTTTGGTAATTTATTTTTTTATCAAAATTAAATGGAACGCTCATGAGGTGTACACTTTTAGATTTTCGAAACTATTTTATCAGTATTCCTCCTAATAATTTATTTTTCTATACAAAGATACAAACTAATTACTACTTTACAAAACTAGATGCGTTCCGCAGCTTCACCTGATTCGTCGTGATGGAAACAAAGGCTTGTGCTGGTAAATACCTACCTAATTTTACTATATTTTACCTATATATCAGTATTTCAGTTATTTGTCTTAAAATATTGGAGTGGGGGTGAACAGAATAATAAAACAGGTTTTATATGTTGTTCTGTTTATTCAACTGCCTCGTTACAGATGTGCGACCGACATATTTATGACATTTATTACTGTTTTTTTTTTAAATTGTCATTTGTTAAATCCTGATGGAAAGCAATCACATGGTTATTAGAATTCAATTTTACTTAAAGCGTCAATCACAACAATCTTCCCAATATTTCAAAATAATACCGAGTAATATCATGTTGCTGGGTGAACACCAAACACATGCAACTGATTCCGTATACGTCACACTCCTAAACGGGCGTACCGGTACGCAAGCGAAGCCGACCGGTACTACCGCAGGCGTCGCGGGCAAAGGGAGGGACTCCGCTCTCCTTCATACGGCGCCCCATCGTTGCTCCGTCTAGTCGCTAAGTTTTTTTTTCTATAGATATAGAGTTGACTCACTAGTAGTATTTATTACACATATGCCCATTGCCCATACTAAGAATATACCAAACTGGATCGTCTTTGCACCATTTGTTGTATCTTTTTAAAACAGAGGGAGCATCAGTCACATGTTAGGCAACTTTCTCTATATGTTTATGACTCTGTGATTTAGTATGTAATGTCCCACATTAGTGTACGAGAGGGTATAAACCAATCTCATATAGTTAGGATGTCTAGCTCGGTTAACTCTTTGCAATTATATTTCTTCGTCAATATTTTGTAGGTAATAAGGTCTCCTATGTAATTAGAATACGACGGGATTTCAGCATAGTTTGATTAAATATTTTTAAACTCTCTTTTTATGACTGGCATAATGGAATTTTTGTGGCTTTTAATTGTACACTCTCCAGCAAATATACATTCTTAAAAAACAGGGGGGGTTTCAAATTTTAAATCCATACTATGTTAGCGGTTGGATGTATGTTTTATAGACTTTGATAAGACAATGTATCTGGAGTCAGAAGCTGAAACGATCTGCTGATTGCATTCCTCTTTGACAATGCTATGGATATGGTCAGCCCTCGTTGGTCTAGTGGTGGTGAACGCGACTGCTGACCATGAGGTCTCGGATTCGCATCCAAAAAATCAGTTATGTTTTTCTGTGAAGAAATTCTCAGTAACAGCCCGTGGTTAGGAAGTTTGACGGTGTTTCACAGGAGACAGATCAGGCGTTGGACCAACGCCTGTTCTCTCTCCGGTCGTATTGAATTACCGTCCCATCAGACTATGATAGTGAGAAAATAGAGAGTGCACCTGTGCTTGCGCATACACTCTGGCTCTATAATCTTGTCCTACGTAGATAGCTAGTCTCCGCTGAAACTGTCCTTTGTGAGTGAAAGTCGGTCTGGAAGACAATTTTCTCATTAGATAGGATTTTTTAACTTTTCTAATTTTCAATATATATAGTCTTCTCTATACATTTGCAAACGATACTAGTTAAACTGATTGTCTTGTAGTTGGCTGGATCAAATTTATCACCTTTCTAAAAAACAGGTGTTACTATAGGATGCCTCCAGTCCGTTGGTGCCTTGCTTGAAGCATATAATTCATTCATAATATTGGCTAAGACTCGTGCGATGGTTTCTCCAGGGCTCAAGTTATCAGGACCAGCAGCAGATTTTTGATTTAGGGACCAAAGAACCATAAGCAAATGTTGTGATGTGAAATTGATGTCACCTATGGAGTTTTGAACTCTTTGTATAGGTATGGAGACATTATCATGGTCAAGTTCGAACAAGTATGCTTTCTTAAACTCACAAGCAAATACTTCGGTAATTTTAGAACCTTCGACTACACGATTGCCTACCTCATCACGTACCCCGGGCGGCGAACCAACTTTAGAGGACATGCAACTGCTTAGGTGAGCATACAATTTTGGTTGTTTCCACTCTCGACAATCTTAGCTTCGTGAAGACTTCTAAGTCTCTTTGCTTCATTACTAACACATTTTATATTGCAGTCTCTGTAGGCCTTATATTTTGCATCACATTTCTTGTCTTCTATGTATGAGCCCATAAATTTTTTTTTCTGTTTTTTGTTAATTCAGCAATGGAAACATTCACCCAAGGTTTATTTAGTTTTTGCTTTCTCCTAACCATTTTGTGAGGAGCATGTCGGTCTAAACCTAGCTCTGCTTCATACTTCAGATCCACCTATTGTTCTATTATTTTTTATCTACTGATTTAATCCAGTCGGGATTACATAGCATGTCTTTGAGCTCAGCATTAACAACATCGTAGTTTATTTTATGTAAGGGCACATCTAAATAATCCCAGCTCTGAATGGCTTGAGATGAGTTATTGAATTTGGAATTCAATTACACAGTGACATAAAAATATAACCTACACTTTTTTTTTGTAACAAATCATACTGTGGCTATACAGTTGTTCGTACCATGAATAACAAATGAAGCCACCACTATAAAGAAGCTTCAGTGATACCCGAGACTGGCCTGTATGGCCACCACAGTCTGCATAAGGACCACTCCTTAGACAGCAGCCTTAGAGGCTATGCTGGAGATAACCCCGCTTCACCCTCACATACAACAAGAAGCAACTTTAGCTGCCATCAGACTTAAAACCCTAAATCTTTGGTATAAGAGTAGGGTCCCTCATACAGATATAATCGATAGAATTTATAACAAAATTTCTATAATACAAGCTAAGTACATCAAGATCCCCAAAAAATTTGTGTTTGATAAGAGATATAAGACACACAAGCGAAATTAATCAGCTGAAGGATTTAAACCCGAAAGAAATGCAAGTACAGGATCTAAAATTTTCTCGGAAGACCTCAACATCCATATATGTACTTCGCTCGGTACCCACAACACGGTCTTTTGAGGTAAACAATTTGTCCATCAGAATACTGACCGACAGCATGGCAGTTCCACGGGCTCTCAGTTGCAATGTAATAAATTCCGGGCTAATATATGAATTCCATCAACAACCAAATGAGGTATGTCAATGCAATAATGTGACTCTGCAATTGATCAAGGGACAGTGGATCCAGGGGAAACGAAGCAGCAGATGAACTGGCGAGGGGATGATATCGGCTCTAGTTGCTATAGGACCGGAACCGATCATACCGATTACCTTTGGGAATGTTCGCTTATTGGTACGTAAGCACTATAATCAACACACCCAGCTTTGGAAAAATCTAGAAGACTATACAAGCTAGGGAGGCCCTGCCAGCAATAAACAATTTGTTTAACCCATGTTTATATGAGATGTGACGACAAAGATCGGGATAGCAACAAGTGCTCTTTTAACAAACATTTTTTTTCTTTGCTTAAGGATATGTACTGTTGCACTTTTGCCAGTGTCAAATATATTAAGAAATTATTCTTTAAAATAATTTGTTTCAAAACCTCTACATTATGTTGATTATATTGTGAAGTTTTTGGGAGATTTTAATGCCACCTTGAGCCAGCCGACGCAGCAGATGACGATAGTATCTCAAGACGCCTAAGCAGACCTATTATCTTGAAATTCACATCACCATCGAAGCACTTGTTTCATCGTTTCCACTAATAATAACTTATAATTTAATACTTATAATTGCACTACTTTTACGTATCAAAATCCGCTTCAAACCATTGTTTAAACAATAATACACGAGCTGCAATCCGCAGCCGGTCAAGTTCCCGCCAAAATTCCTAACAAATATTTATTCACTGTAGGTGTTACAGATAGTCCCTGTGCATGGCATGTACGAAGGAGGAGGAAACGTCGGTCCATTTGTTGCTGGCGTGTCCAGAGGTCGCTGCATACTGCGTTAAACATCTCGGCACGCTGAGATCACTCCCGGAAGTTGTTGACAACATCAAGGGATTGCTGAACTTCTTCGAGGAGATTTCATGACTCGAATAATCACAATATTCCTGCGCACACACAAAATATGCGCTTGGAAGTGGAGTTGCGGAAAATAGCCTGTTTTAACCAAACTGAACTTAAGTACATTTTGTTTGCTTTTTCCCAAAACTGCACATCTAAAGCGAATATAAAAGTCGCAGTTTTTTTTTATTTTGAGTTATATACGATGCTGCTGCAGCCCATCTCCGGTTTAGTAGCTTAGTTCGGTAGTTGCTTTCTTTCGCGCTCTTTCGACACCCACGGAATGATAATGAGGTAGTGGATGCTTCAACGCCGCCACTACACGGCCAACAGTATATTAATGGTAACAGCACACACAGTGGATATTCTTACAGCACCATTAGACAGAACTACGTATTGGTGGTGTAAGAATATCCACTACCCTGTATTGTCCCCTGGGTGTTGTACGTGGCGAGAGAGGCAAACTGAAACAAGAGGACTGCAGTATCTTTCTGATGACAACTCAAAATTAAAAAAAAAACTGACTTTTATAGACAGTAATGGATATTGGAGTGACGAAATAAGAAAATTTCCAGGCTATATTGTTGTCATTCATTATTTGAGGTTAGTCCAAGGATCGTCTTCTTCTTTCTGGTCTTATCTCAATTTATTTGGAGTTGGCGTAGCATGTCTTCCTCTTCTACCGACTATCGTAGACAACAATCTTGTTGTATGATTTTCTTTCCTTCGCATAATAAGATCATTACACGCTAGCCTACTATTTCTCAACTTCTCTGTGACCGGGACCTCTACTAAACTGTCTCCAAGGATCTTGAATTAAGTGCACTAGAGGTATTGGAAATTTTTCTTAATTTTTTTATGCTACTACTTTTAATTCTACAACTTCAGAGGCTTGTGGAGTATGATTGTTTAATTTTTTATTTTTTGTTTATCTTCGTAATGATCTATTTCCATTTTCACAAATCCCATTAAAAATATCCTTCAAAAATCTATAAAAATATTTTAATGTCTATAAAGATAATTTCAAAAATATGTTTATTGGATTTATCTATGTATGAGTAGTTTTCAATTTTTTTTTTAGACATATCTTATTCTTTTAAAAAATTACATTTTTAAAACCTTTTTTGACTCTACTACTTCTTCATTTTGTTCCAAAACAAGTATACTTATTTGAAATCATAGGTTCTTCTTAAAGTCTATAATGCCACTAGGACTTTTCTATCAGGGGCATAGGTATTTACGGTATTGTATTAGTATAATGTATTGTAATAAACAGTTACAAGCGTTCTTTTCCTCAAAGACTACTATTTATACTACTGGATCGGCAATACAGAACAAAAACTGTGTCACAGCTGTGGATCGTGGAGCACGGGCGAGCTGCACGGTAAATATACAACGTACAAATCGCAGCCCGTAAGTCTAGCGCTGAACGAAACGTGGAGGGGACGCGCACGAATTCAATTGCACGAATGCTACTGTAGAGCCAATCAGCGCGACTTATGCGCAATAACGGTCACCGCTAGACTTTCGTGCCGCTACTTATAGTAGTATTGTCATTTACGACAGTAATGGTTTTTAGGCATATACGAAATAAAGTTACATACTTATCTGAAAATAAATTTCAAATCACATTGACAAAGTACGCACATAAATAATCACAGCGTTTTCTTAGTCACATTAAACAAAATTAGTGTTAGATTGTCGAAAACGACATTCGGCGTTTACAAAACAAAGAACTAGTATAATCGCCCGCTCGCAATCGACTAAAGACTAAAGGAATTACGGAGAATTGACTGCAACTTAGTGCGCAATGTATTAGTGGCGTAGTGCCCGTCTAACAGTATACACAGAATTCTTTGGTTCACCTATTAAATCACCTATATCACATAATATTCTTAATGCCCTTAGACGCTAGATATGATTAGACGTGGAGGTTGCGGACACTAGCTCGGCTCAATCAATCAATACACCGTATCATCCCATACTGTTTTATTTTTTCAGGTGAAAGGTTAAAAGCAAAGGATGTTGTAAAAGCTGGAATTGCAACACACTTTGTACCCAGCAAGCGTTTGTATGAACTGGAGAAACTACTTTACCGTTGCAATAATGATGTAGAAGTACGTGCACTACTTAACAAATTTAATGAACCATCTGAGGAGTTCTCATTGGCACCTAATATTAAACATATTAATTACTGTTTTGCGGCTTCTACAATTGAAGAAATCATAGAAAGGCTTGAGAAGGTTAATAATGAATGGTCAGCTAAAACTCTTCAGGTTTGTACAATGTTTGTATGCATGATACATTTGTACGTGTGGCGTAAACGAGGTGGTTATATCGCCATCTATCTAAAGCCATATGCTATTGACCTAAGATTTTTGTAATAACGACGTGTTGGGCCGCGGGTTCGAATCCCGCTCGAAACAAGTGTTTGTATGGCTTACAAATAATTGTTCCGGGTCTGGATGCTTGTCCTTGTGAAATTTATATATGTTGACTTCCTACAGGAGAAACTCCTAGTGTGGGGGGTACATTCTTTTAAAAAATAAACAATAAACATTAACAAATCAAAATTAATTCATTACAGCCTTATAAATTGCCTCAAAAGGGAGGATGGACAACTGCATTTTTTTTTTCATTATCAAGATAATGCTGCTTTCCATCTCCTTTTTTATTTTCCCATTGTCACCTCTTACGACACCCCCGGAATGATATGGCGTAGTGGATTTTCTGACGCCGCTACTAATCATGTTCTCCAGACCGAATTTAGGTTATGGCTTCACTCACTCTCATAGTCCGATGTGATGACAAACCGACACGACCGTTGATAGATAAGGCGCAGTACCAACGACTTTACACGCTTTTGCACGGGGGTGTAAAACAACGCCATCTTCCTAACTCTGCGCTACTACTGTGAAATTTCTCGAGAGAAAAACCCAATAATTGATTTAGGCCCGTCCCGGGATTCGAATCTGAGCCCTCGTGATCAGCCACCACGTTTACGATACTAGAGCAACGAGGCAGGCAGTACGCAGCGACTGACTAAATACACGAGTGTAAAATTTTCCTGCAGACCCTCGGTCAGATGAGCCCTAGCGGGTTGAAGTTGACGCTGCGTGCTTTCCAACGTGGCGCCCAGCTGGACCTGCCGCAGTGCCTGCGCATGGAGTACCGCATGATTTGCCGCGGCTTGCACAACAACGACTTCCCTGAAGGTAAACCATCTTTTTATAAATAACAATACTTCCCTATAACCACTTCAGTAAGCTTAAAATGCTTTTGTTACGAGTACTTCACGACAGTAGTCGGATAGCAAATTTGAACCCACGACTTTTGATTTCGCGATCCGCACTCTGCCATTAAGCTACTGTCAATTGTAACGGATTACTTTTAGTGGATTGGTCTACTCTAAAAAGCAATCCGTTAAAATCAATCTCAAAAGTCTCGAACACAGTTGCAAAGTAGCAAGCCTTTCGGTTTTCTAAATGTAAGTGCCCTTTACCATTTTTAACTGCATCACTTACCTTCAGGTGGGACAGCAGTCAAATATTGGCTTAGAATAGGAGAATTTCAAGAAGTCTATCCGAGTTGATATCGCCTTTAAGTCTCTTTAAACTGTGCTCTCAGCTACAGATCGAAAGAGAGTGAAAAGTTCGTACATTAGTCAAATGTCCACTTGCGTATTTCGAGAACAAATGATGATTTCCTCCAACCAATTTTATTTAACACGCAACAAGGGCATCCACGGCTTTTTCTGCCACCAGGACGGCGCCTCTTTAAAGTGAGATATAATATTTGACAGATATCATAGTGGGGAAGTTAATTTGTTCGGAAATTGTAAAGGTTAACGTTTCTTGCTGTGGTATTAGGTATATTTTATATTAATAAGATTAAAAATAAATAAACCAAACCCCAGATATTCATAAAAGCAGAAGAATAAAAAAAGCTAAAAAATAAAAAATGTGCAAAAAATTAAAGAACAAACCACTGAGGCATTGTTTTGTGTAGTAACCTTTTGACCGCCAAAGTAGCCTATACTTGACCAGCACCTGCGGGCCCTGAGCGCCAACGACGTCTATAGTTGACAAAAAACCCGGCCCACAAAAATATGAAATATAGTATTGGAAAATTATTACTGGTATATTAATTCTACACTCCTCAAAAAAGAGTAACCCAGCAACACGTGAGTTTAAAAAAAAAAATATTTTTATCTAAGCAAATACTATGTCCAGCACGTCAAAGTCGTCTATGGTTGACCGCTGTGTGGAACGCGGGAGGCATAGATTTCTTGAAAACTATCCAAAATTCAGCTCAATCGTGGTATTTTTTTCTATTATTATTGATAATTTTCACATTTTATTTTTTGTATACCATCTATTTAAATTATACTAATGTTAGTTTGTTAATATGTAGTAAGGAAGAGCACTGTGATCTGAAATACAGATATATATTTATCTAGTTCAGATACAGATATTCCATCATTCTTTGTAAACTAAGTATGGTCTATACTATAGAATAGTTATTTATAAATGTGATAGCTTTCTAAGTGGTGAAGATAAATTATTATTATTATTATTATATTTGAACATGACAAAGAGTTAGAAACATAAAAATATAATTAGCTACATCAATAAAAAAAATGTTATCAAATCATCTTCGTATAATAAATCTAATATCTCAACTCTGGCGCATACTTAGCGCGTCATCGAAAATCAGTTCACTGGGCGCCGTGGTCAAGATACACGATACTCTGATGACGTCATTAGTGATCAGCGGGAAAAGTAGTGCAGTGCAACATGAACGATTCTGACTGATTTACCTAGTGCGAATAATTATATACAATTGTAGATTAGTGAATAATTATGTACCTTTTTTTACTTAAGGTATGAAGAGCAATTTTTCATTTTGCGTTGTGCGATTTTTTTTCTCAATCTCAAAATCATCTGGCAGCATCAGCATCATATCAAACCCCCATTGTTATAAGACTAAGACTTTTCTTCTGTGCTTCACTTGGCCTACGCTTCCTCCGACACATAAAATATTTTGAATCGATGTCTGTATATTTTGGTTAGATCGATTTCCAAATCGATACACAATGTACGACACGGCTAAAAAAGTTCCAAAAAGAAAGGTCAGCTACGCCGTTGTCGTCCAGTCGTGACAGTGACATCACGATGGAGAGTACTGCTGTGGTTTACTACTATTTTATTGTTATTTTTTGTTTATGTACAAAGTACATAATTATATACAAAATGTGGTAGACAGCACAAGATTAAATAAAACATACCAGATTATAAAAAGTGATTTATTGCATAAAAAACCAACCAAAACAAGTTATTTTGTGTTATCGATATCATGGAGTTATTATGTACTACGTACTAAAGGCGACACTACACTAAGTTACGCTGTTCAACTGCGGCAATGTCACCGCAGGCTTAACTTTCCATTGACGTCCGTCGAGTTGGGTGTTAATACGTATTTTTACAGAAAAGTTACACTATTATAAGCACACACACACACAAAGTTTCAACATGCGAAAACGCGTAATTTTTGAGAAAAAATATTGAAAATCAATTATTCTTGCAATGTTTATATCTAATCCTACCGAAAAACTGGCGCCATTTTGTAATGTCATTGTCGACGTCAGTATTCTTTCCGAAAAAGGTCGATTTTTAAATCGATTCAAATCGTAAGCTGATGTATCGATTCACAAAAAATCGATTTCTAAAATATCTATATTTTTTTAATGTTTGCATTTATAATGTAAATATAAATCGTAAATATAATATAAATAAAAAACTCCTTTCATCATAATAAAATAAGAGGACTGATTCAGAAGGATTTCTGTATCTATTTTGAGACGTTTTAATAAATTAATTAGCTATATAATATGTACTCTAAATAAACAATAATTAAATACCTACTGATCATTCTACCTACGCATAATCTATTATGATAAAAAAACCGCGCATGCGCGGTAAGACTTTACGGCGCATGCGTAACGACATAAAGTACCGCACAGTTTTTGTTTGAAATAGCTGTTCTAGTACGTAAGTACATTATACTTCAATGATCGATATATCAACTCTTGGCAACACTATTTTTTTCGTAGGTATTTTTGTTTACTTTTTTGGCGTGGCGTTCAAAAGGTTAATACCAAAGATGTTTTATAGGTCCAGATACCGTGTACGCGCGCCTAAAACGCTTCCATTTCAAAGGCGCCAATATTGGCGTATTCGTTCGATCGTTCCGCCATTACGCCAGCGACGTTCGCTGTGAACATACGTCACGCACCGGTGTTTTTAATTTCGCAAAATGACTGTTTGTGCTGTGAAATCATTTAAAAATTACTCTTGGAAAAAAGATAAGGATAAGAACATCACTTTTCATAAGTAACTATACAATTTTATGGTGTATTTCTTTGTAAAAAAATACGAAAGCTAAATGTCAATACAAGTAATAATACTGCGCAATAATATTCGAGTGTTGCCTAGTCTATGAAATGTTTTTGCCATTTTTTAATGTCATGATCAACTACAAAGGTTATCTGTATAGGGGTTTTAAACAGTCTAATTTTACAGATTTTACCCAACCTATAGTGTTAAACCGATTTAAGGGTTAGGGTTGAACTACATCTGGCAGCATGAAATTGCACCTTCCTGTGCTTCTATCCTTTTTGGTCACTCAGAACCGTTATAGTATTAACCGGTATAGTTCCACCCTCAAAAAGCCGATTGTAAACCGGTTTTAAAAGTTTATCTATCATTCTTGACAATTCATACTAATATAATATTATAAATGTGAAAGTGTGATTTTATTGTTTATTTGTTTTTGTCCTTCCTTTACGCAGCAACGGAACGGAGCAGTTTAAAAAAATTAAACATTTTGCTATCTCTTGGCTGAAGTTTACGCTTAACCAAACTTTTTTTCGTCATTTTACTTAGGATTGAAAAATAATTTAATGTCTTCGTAAAAGCGGCAATATTTTGTGTTCTACAGTACAACAGTGTATAAATATATGTTACATATATAAATATCTACTGTCCTTTTTATTTATTTTAACTGTTACATTAATTATAGGTTTTATTATATATCTTCAATATTTTAGTGCGATGTTCGTACCTACATAAAACACACATAAGCAACCATATCCCCATACACACACACACACAAATGCACACGCCACGCACACACATTTTATACTCTTAGAATCAATAGGTACGTCAATAGGAATGAAATATAAAATCTCTCACATTTTTTGGGTAAACGATTCGCACTGTTATTACCGAAGTCACGCACATTAATGCAGCCATGGTGCGTAAGATATGCGCGTCACGTGGTACTCACGCACACATGAATCAAAGACTGTCTTCACTATGAACGTTGCGGTGTGTTAGCAACACGGTATCTGGACCTATAAAACATCTTTGGTTAATACAATACTTTTGAAACTGATAAACTTTTATTATTAAAAACGATCTTTTCAATTAAATGACATTGTGTAACAAAAACTTTACCTCAGTGTCAACTAGCGACATCTGCTGAGCAGAAAATTATTAGCCCTCATTGCATAATAACCAAAAGTTTTACAAACGTTTGTAAAGTCGCACACACATACACTTATTTTCTTCATTTATAACACTTCTATACGAGTACTATTGACCGTGTTTTGGCAGTGTATGAGAATCCAATACCCCACATAATCTCATGAGCTTCGTAAGAGGCAACAGAGAAAAACTCAATCAGGAGATGGATAGAACCTAATCTAACACAAGCATTTTAAGCTTACCAGGACTGGTTAAAGGGAATATTAGTAATGTTATTTGCATTACCCACGAATTTTGGGTGTTATTTAATTATTTACTTCAAAAACTTGTGGCTTACAGAACTCGAATAGGCACAAAAGGTTAAATTTTACATGCAAAAAATTTTTTTCACTAATTGCATCCATCCATAACAACAAAAATTAATAATTATAATTTCATCATCATCATCATCATCATTACAGCCTTTCATAAGTCCACTGCTGAACATAGACCTCCCCCAAGGAATACCACAAAACACGGTCCTGAGCCACCTGCATCCATCGACTTCCTGCATGTCTTACCAGGTCGTCACTCCATCTCGTGGGGGGTCGCCCTACACTTCGCCTACCGGTACGAGGCTGCCACTCGAGAACCTTTCTTCCCCATCGGTTGTCGGTTCTTCGAGCTATATGGCCGGCCCACTGCCACTTCAGCTTACTAATCCGTTGGGCTATGTCGGTTACTCTGGTTCTACTGCGGATATACTCATTCCTAAGTTTATCACGCAGAGAAATCCCGAGCATAGCGCTCTCCATAGCTCGCTGAGCGACCTTGAGCTTCCTCATACGGCCAGCAGTGAAGGACCACGTGTCAGATCCGTAAGTCATCACTGGCAACTCGCACTGGTTGTACAATTTCGTTTTAAGGTTTTGAGGTATGCCTGACGAGAAGATGTGTCGTAGTTTCCCGAACGCTGCCTAGCCGAGTTGACCTCTCGGTCGAAGTTGGACTTACCTAGTCGGACTATTTGTCCCAGGTAAACATACTTGTCAACAACTTCGAGCTTAGTGCTCCCAACAACTACGGGTATAGGTGTGACATGGACATTAAACATGATCTTTGTTTTGTCCATGTTCATCCTAAGACCTATTCGTTGGGAACACTATTGAGGTCATTGAGCATGGTGCTTAGGTCCTCCAGCGATTCTGCCATAAGGACTATATCGTCGGCAAATCGAAGGTAAGTGATGTACTCGCCATTGATGTTAATACCGTATTCTTTCCAGTCCAGAAGCTTGAAAACGTCTTCCAATGCAGCGGTGAAGATTTTCGGGGTTATAACGTCACCCTGTCTTACAACTCTGGTAGGTTTCGTACTCTGGTTCTGTACTCGGATAGCCATCGTAGCTCTACTGTACAAACACTTCAGCACTTCGATATACCGACGGTCAACTTGGCACCGCTGAAGTGACTGCAGCACCGCCCAAATTTCGACGGAATCAAAGGCTTTCTCATAGTCCACATACGCCAGACATAGTAGCAAATTGTACTCCTCGGACTTCTGTACAATTTGCCGAAGGGTATATATGTGGTCTATGGTGCTAAAGCCGTTTCGGAAACCGGCTTGTTCGGGAGGCTGGAAGTCGTCAAGTCTGCGCGCGAGATAATTCGTAATGACTCTCAAAAACAGCATGTAGACGCGGCTCAGAAGGGAAATCGGTTTGTAGTTCTTCAAGAGAGCATTGTCACCTTTCTTGAAGAACAAGACCACCGCACTTCTGCTCCAAGCCTCCGGTGTAATGCCACCATGGAGGACGGAATTAAAGAGCTTCTATAGGACTTCGAGTACCGGTCTTCCACCCGCTTTCAGAAGCTCCGCTGTAATTCCATCCTCGCCTGGGGCCTTGCCGTTTTTAAGGTGCTGGAGAGCCATTCTAATCTCGCTCAGACTGACGTCCGGGATATTTTCGGAATAGTGTCGGATAAGACTTGCTCTTGGATCGTTACTCACACTTGAGTGGCTCCAAAGATGACGTGTAAAGGTGCCCCGGAAACGATGCTACCACACTCGGTATTCAGCTTCGACAGTTGGCTCTTTCTGGCAGACAGATCTCTGGCAAAGACTTTGGAGCCTTGGTTCCGCTCGATCGCTTCTTCAATACAAGCTCTATTGAAGTTGCGTAAGTCCCGCCGCATGCATTTGGAGATCTGTCTGTTCATTTGCCTTCATGCTGTAAAATCTGTTGAAGAATGTAGCTCTTCATCTCCCGTCTAACAGCCATGAGATTGAGAGTGTGATCGGAGAGTTTTTGTGTTCTTCTGCGGCGGGTCTTGCTGTCTTGCAGAACTTAGCTCCGACCGCATGGACAGTTTCCACGAGCTTGTCAATCATATCGTCCACTTCTTTGCAGTCTTCTAGGCACTGAAAACGGTTTTGTAACTCGAACTGAAAGGTTTCGGGACTTTGGAACAGAGCACGAGGGGGACGAAGCGTTAACTTCATTAGACGAGACCTCTCCAACTTAACGTTTAGGTTCATGTGCCTCTAACTATTTGACCACCAGTTTTCACCCTCGCGATCACGGAGACATCACTGAACAGTTGTCATCTGGTCGTCATAATGAAGTCAATCTCATTTTTTGTGGAACCGTCGGGGCTCGACCAGGTCCACTTCCTGTGGGGCAGCTCCTGGAAGAAAGATTTCATCATAAAGAGTCCCTCTTTCTCCATGAAGTCGGCCAGCTGCTGGCCCCTTGGGTTCCGTTGCCCTATTCCAAATTTCCCTACTTTCAGCTCACCGTTCTCTCTTGTGCCTAGTTTTGCATTGAAGTCTCCCATTAACACCGTATATTGGGTTTTGGAGGAATACATGGCTCTAGAGATATCCTCATACATTTCCTCCACCTCCTTATCGGGTTGTGCCGAGGTTGGTGCGTAAACCTGTATGACCTTCAGCGAATACCGTTTGGTGATTCTGAGTATAAGGTACGCAACCCTCGTCGACACACTCAATCTTTACAACGTTGTTAACGAGAGACTTGTGGACGATAAATCCGACACCTCCTTGGGACAGATGGTCGCCCTCCCGGTGATAGAGCAAGTAGCCGGATTCGAGGATTACCGTGTCCTCCCCTCTCTTCGGACTTCGAATAATCCTATAATATGCCAGCGTAACTTGTCCATCTCTTCTTTATTAATAATTTATAAATTAATAAATAAAAATTAATAATCATAAATTAAATAATTAGAAAATAATAGTAAAAATCTCGAAGCTTTTAGCAGCCTATAAAGAAATTAAAACAGTAATAAAGTCAATTGAAACAATAAAATATTAATAGTTATACAATCAAATATTTTGTCCTATCAATTTATAATGCAATGTCAATAAAAGCTAATTACAATCTTAAATACAAAGTATTAAATAGTACATAGTCAAGGAAATTAAATTGTCGAATTATTAATTTTGCTATCCATAGGTAGGTTTTCCATACCACCCATTATGCTACTCTTTTCCCATTATTAGGCCTAAATTGTCATTAATACACTGTTACAGGTGATGAAAAAGTATCAAGTAATTTTTAGTATTTTCAATAAATTTTATTTTATTTTACGTATGAGCTATAAGTAACCCCTCCCCCTCCCTCGGAGATTCCATTTAATACATTTCTCAGGTTCTACTTTATTGAAAAAGAAATTATCATCTTCTCAGGAGTGCGGGCTCTCCTCATTGATAAAGACAATAACCCTCAGTGGAACCCAAAGACCCTGGCTGAAGTGACTGAAGATTATGTAGAGAGTTTCTTCAAAAAGCTGCCCGAAGAGCAGGAGCTAAAGTTCTTCGATTCCAACCTGTAACCGAATTTTTGTACTTTTTTATGGACAAGTTTTATACATTCTAATTTTTCAATATATACAATGTTAAAATGATGCATTGATATAACGGTGCGTGTTTACAATTTTTTTTTTATAGAAAATTTTACTAATTCACTGTTTTTACTGTTACACTGTTGTCAATTTGAACAAAATAAGCTAAGTAGTGGCTTCTTTTATTCCTGAATGAAATAGCGTAAATTTTTTTGATTTTTTTCTATTTTATATGTTCTATTACTTACTTTATAGGTTATTTGAAAATAAAAAACATGGTAGGTAGTTAAAATATATATATAAATATAATATAAATAATAAAAGAAAGTTTTACAATAAACTACAAAAACTGGCATGTGTCACTGAGTAACTTCTTTCTTACATACAACAATGAATAAGTCAAAATAACTGTAATTTTAATACCACAGACTCCAATTAACATACAAATAGATAGGTTTTTATGAACTATGTTGGTATGGGCAGTTTTACAGGGATAAGATCTTTTGATGAGTTATTTGAAGTTCACTGAATATATCTAAGTATATATTATATTTATAAGTATATAAAATAATCTCAATTTTTATATACAATGTACATTTAAGTTATAAATACAAGTCATCAATAAGTCTCGAATTAGTTTTTAAAATATTAATATGAATTTTCTTTAGAAATAACAACTATGTAAGAATTTTTGATATTATGTATGAGTATAACATCAAATGCCTTAAAAATGGGATGACAAATAGCCATCACAATTAATATTAGAACCTTTTAAGAACTTTTTTATTGTAGTATACAGAGTGTACTATTTGAAGATGAAATAGAAATATTTTATAATGATGTGTTTATTAATTACTCCTGTTTTAAAGTTTAGCTTGTTGATATTGTGAAAATGTTTATATTGTAGTCTTACAGGTTTTTTATGAATATTATTAGGAATTATAACTTTAAGAATTCAAAGACTAGAAGGTCAGTTTGAACAAATACTTTTTACTGAATACATATTGTTATACTGAGTAATGTGTAATTATTGTAAAAGAGGAAACTGTCGAATATTCTTACAGTGTTTTGTGAATTATATCAAAGAATAATAGAGTTGGAAAGTCGTGGAATTAAGTTGGCACCTTAAACCAACTGAAATCTTTCTGCCACGAAAATAAATTTTAATAACAATTGTGGCTTAACCATACAAAAGTGCCAAAACGTAAAACAATGTACCTCACATAGGAAATTTAAGACCGCATGCTAAAACTATAACAAGAAGCTTTGTAAGAGTATTTGACAAATTAGTTTTGCTGTTTATTTTGCATAGAACAGAAATTATTGTTCACAAAAAAATGGTGTAAACAGTGTGATATATAAATTTTCTTTGAATGTGTGTGTGAACTCCTATCAATCCCAGGCCAGTTCGATACAAAGCATGTTTCAATTTTGAGTAAACAAGCTATAGCACAGAATAAATAATAGTATTAACTTACAAAAGTTTCATTACTTTGATCTTGACAGAAGCCGCAGTTTTATCGGCATAGATAATAAGGTACACATTGTGTGCATTCTAAATAGCACCTTATCGCCACGCGTTAGTGTATTTATTTCTTTGTGTTGTATTTTCGAGAGTTAGGGTTGTTAGCGAAGTTCTAACCAAATTATAAGATGTTTTTTAATTTCCATTATGTCTTCAAATGTTTAATTTTTCTCAAGTATCTATTATAAATTATTAGTTTTGCAAAATTCTAAATCGAAAAAATTATCATGGTGTAATAAAATCAATGTCATTCAGCAGCGATAATATTCAGAGTTAGTTAAAAAATTCCAAATATAGCTCCTTGGTTCATACCATTTTTACGAGATATTTTTTCCATGGAGGTCTTAACGTTCCTTTATCAAAAAATCTCTTGTGTTATTAAAGTAATAATAAGTTCTGACTGATCGAAATTTAAATCATAAAATCAAAGTGCGCGGTCCGAATTCCGAGACCATCGAACAAGCAGCCTTGGTTTAAAGTTGCCACGCGCTGTAGATACTTATTGAGGTAGGGTAGGGCGAGTATCGGCTAGTGGTAGATGCCTAGCTATAGGAATTTATATATTCACCGTTTGTAACAGAAGCATTTATTTTTTGTATTTTGTAATAATTAAAAGCAGTTTTAGAACATATGTGTAATGATGTACATTTTAAATAATATAAACAGAGTGTACATCAGAAGCTGACTGTCATTTAAAAAAATATTTTTCATAATGCCATTGTAGTTTCATTGCTTTAATCCTTTATAACTACACTTGTTTTTTTAGATTCTCAAGTATACAAATGAGTACTGCTTCAGTTGAAAGACACACCATTAGAGCGAATATCTGATGACTCATACAGGGAGTCTTATGAATGCAGGTAGTCCAGGACTATGTTGTGACGCAAGCCCATGGTCAATAGTGGACTTGTGATAGGTTGTAATCATGATTATGTTATCTTAACTGTAAATGATTCAAGAACAACACTTTTTTACGTGGTAGAGCCATGCTGCAGCTATATTACTGGTATAGTTGTAGCACGAATGGGTCGGCTCGACCGAGGAAGAACCACGCTCTCACACGCTTGTAGTTCTGTGAGACACTCCGAATGAATTCCAAACAGCCACAAATTTTTTGTCCTTGAACCATGCCTTTTTAGTAGTAATTCACAAACGCCATATTATCATCATTATTTCGCACCTTTGGGAATAAAGTGTCACTTCTACGTTGATTTGGCTGCATGAATTTTAAAAACAATGATTTTAACAGAGTACAGTGCATCAAGTGTCTGAGGATACAGATGCACTCTCTATTCTGTCAATCTCGGCATGTTAAGAAAATGGTCAGTCATTCATGGACTGACCGCGGCAGTGCAACTCAATCTCGCATATCTATTGATCCGCGCAGCTATTACTTAAACACGAGTTTCTCTTCTCTACGACTAACGCTCTAGGCGATGAACCACCCTATTTAAGCCCTCGGCACAATGTAGTCGGCTATCAAGCACGAATCGAGAGTCGAGCATCAAATACTATCGGCAAATGGAATTTATACTATCACGTCACATGCGCGGGCGTCTAGTGGCGCTTCAGGAGTATTACTAAATATTTATACCTAACTACGTCAAAAGTTTTATCATTGTGACTTGGGTATATAATCCGAAGCTCCGCTCAACCCCTTGGGAAAAATAGCGTGATGCTATGAATATTGTACTAGTATGACCGTGAGGCTGTGCGGTTGGTTAAGTAAGGTTATACATTTATTTTGGTTGATGAATAGATATGTGGCAGCGCTGTTGTCGGGCCACAAGCGAAACACATCGAAGCCTAAATCACGCTAACAAAGTTCCGAAGTTAAAAGCAGTATATATAGAATAGCTCCGAACCACTCGGAGCATTGGCCGTTCCGAGGGCAGAACACCTTGCCCGGCGGAAGATCTCCCCTTTTCCTTCTACCCGCCACAGTGGTGACCCCGACGTGATATGAACACGCAACCAACAACAACCTGACACTTGCTCCGGCTCATCGTTCTCACCGGTATCACTTGCAAGTGCGTAGTATGGCATGCATTACACACCGGCATATCGTTCGCACCGGCGACACTTGCCCTTACGCACACAGCATGCATTCCCCACCGGCATTAAGGACGCACCGACAATCGGACTGCACTATCGACCTCCGGTCTGAGCAGGTGGTGATGTGGAAGCGCTGTCATCGCGCCACACATCCAAGCCTAAAACACGCTAACAAAATTCCGAAGTTAAAAGCAGTATATACCTAGTCAGGTCATAAGTATTGTCACACAGTAAAAACTTTTCTTTTAGAATGCTGGCCACAAAAAAGTTTATTGAATTCGAATTTCGAATTGTTCATGAAAGTAAAACTGTATACTTTTTAGAATTTTACTCGTTTTTAAATATGGAGTGGACGCTTAAAGAAGACCGTGTTGCAGTTATTGCGTTGCATCGTTGCGGTTACGCGCCAATTCAAATTTTTGACATACTGATAAATTTGAATATAACCAAAAGATTCGTTTATTGTACCATCAAACGATACAATGAAGACTCTAGTGTAGATGACAGGTCAAAAAGTGGTCGCCCTCGGTCTGTTAGAACTCCAGCAGTGATAAAAGCTGTGAAGGCGCGAATTCAAAGAAATCGCAAACGTAAGCAGAAACTGTTGTCCCTTCAGATGGGGTTAAGCAGAACCACGGTGAAAAGGGTGTTAAATGAAGACTTAGGGCTTCGGGCATATCGAAGAAAAACTGGACATCGTTTGAATGCAAGTCTAATGGACCTGAGACTGACGAACCTTGTGGAACCTGTTTCTCATACCATGTTCAATAACAGGCACTGGGTATTCCAACAAGATTCGGCGCCAGCTCATAGAGCGAAGAGCACACAAGACTGGCTGGCGGCGCGTGAAATCGACTTCATCCGGCACGAAGACTGGCCCTCCTCCACTCCAAATTTGAATCCGTTAGATTGCAAGATATGGCAACACTTGGAGGAAAAGGCGTGCTCAAAGCCTCATCCCAATTTGGAGTCACTCAAGACATCCTTGATTAAATCAGCCGCCGATATTGACATGGACCTCGTTCGTGCTGCGATAGACGACTGGCCGCGCAGATTGAAAACTACTATATACACTAAAGTTTATACAATATCACGGAGGTCATTTTGAATAAACTTTACTGTCATAAGAATCTATGTTTTGTTAAGTTCATTTGGGTATATAAATGGTTACATAATGAATAAACTTGTTTCAATTATTTTATATTAAACATGTGATAGAATTTATGACCTGATTAGGTATAGAATAGCTCCGAATCACTCGGAGCGTTGGCCGCTCTCCGAGCAGAACACCTTGCCCGGCGGGAGATCTCCTCTTTCCTTTCTACCGCCACAGATACTTAGTTGGGTTCATAATGGCTTAAAGAGGATAATCTCAAGATTTTATTTTTAATGTACAGTTTTATAATGTTTAAAAATCTGTCTCTATTTTTATCAAAAGTTTCGAAAGTTTAAAAGTTTTATTATAACAAATTTATACTTACTGGTACAAATAATGTCGAAATGGCTCCTTTTAATAAAATTGTTTTTATTCTACTTTTTCTTTTATACTTCCCAAGAAAACGTTTGCTGCAAATTCTTTAGTTCTTCTTTGGATTCCAACCAACCCGTCTAATTAACCTTAACCATTTTTTCTAATTATAGAATCAGTTTGATAAACGACAAAATAAAATTATATTTTAGAACGCAAACCGAGGATTTATTTATTTTGTTATGTGGGGAAGTCTATAGATACATTATAAACATTCAAGTTAAATATCGACATTAATTTTGATATAGTTAAGTCAATCCCTAGCGTAGATGTAAAATATTTTTTATAAAAATGTATTTACTAAATTCATGCAAATTATCAACATCATAACTTTTTTCTTTGCAAAATACCAAAATTAACAAAATAATTTAAAAAATTGTATATTTTAAACAGTATGACATAAATTTTAACCAAAAATAAATGCGTGATAATATCGACGCCGTCTTGAGAATTTACCTGTGAAATGTACAATTATCAGGATTATTTCTATTATTAACACGACTGTCACTCACAGAACAAGTAACCATTTTGGAAAAGTTACTTACTAAAAATAACCACTATTACACTCTAAAAAATTACAAAATATCTAGGAGCTTATTTCTTGCGTGCCGATTTGTGCCGACCTGTCATTCAAAATCGGTTATAGAGTCATGACATTTGGTATCCTTTTCTATCTTGAATTTTTTTGTTCTCCGTTGCCCACGTGTTCTCACGCAAACTTATCACGCCTCAAAAGAAATATTCACCTTATGACAGGTAGCTCCTAGCAATATATGAGGCCATCAATTATTTTCGCCACATGCTGGAAGCTAGAAATTTTATAGTGTACACTGACCATAAGCCGATCAATTCCGCATTTCACGAACGAAAATGAAACTGTTCTCCTAGGCAGTACGGACACTTAGATTATATATTCCAATTCACTACAGACATCCGACATATTTCTGGCAAGGACAATGTTGTTGCCGACACTGTCCCTGGTTGAAGTTTTGGAAGTTCCGATAGACCTCGAAGCTTTAGCAAAAAGTCAGGTTTCTGACCCTGAGTTAGAAAAGCTTATCCGGGAAGGCTCTTCATTGCGTCTTAAAAATTAACCATACCTGGAAGCCGTATTTCATTATACTGTGACGTCAGTACACCGACTTCCAGGCCATTCGTGACAAAGTTTTTTCGGAAGTAAGTATTTCATAGCTTACATTCCTTAAGTCACCCAGGCGCAAATGCTACTGCTAATTTAGTATCTGAGATATTTGGTTGGCCGAACGTTAGGAAGAACTGTCATGAATGGGCTAACACTTGCTTATCATTCCAACGATGCAAAGTAAGTCGACATGTTACAACCCCACTTTGCACATTTAAGCTTACCTCGTGCACGTTTTAAACAGATCCATATAGATTTAGTAGGACCGTTACCACTATCGGAGGGCTACCGCTATTGTTTAACGTGTGTCGATCGTTTTATACGTTGGCCCGAAGGCGTCCTAATCACCGACATAACAGCAGAAACAGTTGCTAAGGCATTGTTGTCATGTAGGATATCTCGATACGGTTGCTCAACAGAAATAGTTACAGATCGCGGACGTCAGTTTGAGTCTGCGCTATTTCAACACCTTGCAAAGATATCGGGATTTCAACACCGACGCACAACTGCTTACCACCCCACATGTAACGGTCTAGTGGAGCGCTTTCATAGGCAACTGAAGGCGTCAATAATGTGTCACGCACTAGACAAGTGGACCGTGTCACTATCATGGATATTGTTGGGCGAAGCTTTTACACTATACACCTTTCCTATCTGTTGGTCGACGTTTCGTATGTTCGATCCCGCGCGGCATCGTTGATACAATACCATATATTGTAATATCGTAAGGCGCGCGGCATCGTCGATATAACACCATATATGGTAATATCGTAAGGCAGCGGTTGCGGGCCAGCAGTTGGAGAGAACCGCCCCCATAATCAGTTGACCAGTCGCTTGCGTGCTACGACGCGAAGAGATTGTCACATTGTCTCGCAGACGCTTTAATAATTATTTACGTGTGTAATAATAAAAAAAAATTAAATAACAATAATGTATACTGATTAAAATCATTTATTCGTGATGAAATTCTATTAATTTAGTCAAAAATTACTTTTAAACACATATTCAGCATATTCTTTTCCATAATATTTATATCTTACTAGCTGGTCTCCGCGACTTCGCCCGCGTGGAATTTGTAACGATTAGATTTTTTGGGTTTTAATTTTTTTTCGCGGAACCGTAATTATTTTTCTGAAATACATGTAGGCTAAGGTACTCTTTATAAAATTATCTGTCTGTCAGTGAAAATCTCGTCAAAATCCGTCGAGCCGTTTCGGAGATTAGCCGGTACAAACAGACATACAAAAAATTAAAAAATTGTCTTTTGGTTAGAAGAACAATATATACTTTCATACACATTTAGTAAAAAGGTTGTTATTTTAACATTAAAAAAAGACACTCCACTTTTCATTTATTTGTATAGATAGGTATCTAAATAAGCAATAATTAGGTACCCCGTGTAGTGGCGGGAAGAATACTCACTACCCCATATCTTCCCGTGGGTGTCGTAAGAGGCGACAGACGGAAACTGAGGCAGAGGATGGGCAGCAGCATCTTTCTGATAATAGCAAAACAATAAAAAAATTGCGGTTTCCAACCCGCTCGCCAAGCGTGGCAACTATGGCAATATGAGAGTAACGAAGAGACGGCCCCCAGTCCCCGGTGGCCCCGCTATTCCTGGCTACGGTGGCGACCATGGTAACAGCGGGGCAGAGGGTGCTAAGAATCTCCGATGGAGGTTCGGTTGCCACCTACGACGACTCCACCTGGCAACTTATAACGTACGCACCCTCAGGACTGACGACAAGATCCTGGAGCTGGAAGAAGAGATAGACAAGTTGCGCTGGAATATCATAGGATTATCCTAGGTCCGAAGAGAGGGGGAGGACACGGTAATCCTCTCCGGGAACTTGTTCTATCACCGGGAGGGCGACCATCTGTCCCAAGGTGGTGTCGGATTTATCGTTCACAAGTCTCTCGTTAACAACGTTGTAAAGATTGGGAGTGTGTCGACGAGAGTTGCGTACCTTATACTCAGAATCACCAAACGGTATTCGCTGAAGGTCATACAGGTTTACGCACCAACCTCGGCACACCCCGATGAGGAGGTGGAGGAAATGTATGAGGATATCTCTAGAGCCATGCATTCCTCCAAAACCCACTATACTGTCTTAATGGGAGACTCCAACGCAAAACTAGGCACAAGAGAGAACGGTGAGCTGAAAGTAGGCAAATTTGGAATAGGGCAACGGAACCCAAGGGGCCAGCAGCTGGCCGACTTCATGGAGAAAGAGGGACTCTTTATGATGATCTCTTTCTTCCAGAAGCGGCCCCACAGGAAGTGGACCTGGTCGAGCCCCGACGGTTCGACAAAAAATAAGATTGACTTCATTATGACGACTAGAAGACAACTGTTCAGTGATGTCTCAGTGATCGCGAGGGTGAAAACCGGCAGCGATCACCGAATGGTGAGAGGTACACTGAACCTAAACGTTAAGTTGGAGAGGTCACGTCTGATGAAGTCAACGCTACGTACCCTCGTGCTGTGTTCCAAAGTCCCGAAATATTTCAGCTCGAGCTACGAAACCGTTTTCAATGCCTAGAAGATTGTAATGCAGTGAAAGATATGAATGACATGCTCGTGGAAACTGTCCATGCGGTCGGAGCTAAGTTTTGCAAGACCCGCCGTAGAAGAACACAAAAGCTTTCCGATCACACTCTTAATCTCATGGCTGTTAGACGGGATATGAAGCTGCAGTCTTCAGTAGATTTGACAGCATACAGGCAACTGAACAGACAGATCTCCAAATGCATGTGGCAGGACTTACGCAACTTTAATACTGCTCGTATTGAAGAAGCGATCCAGCGGAACCAGGGCTCCAAAGTCTTTGCTAGAGATCTGACTGCCAGAAAGAGCCAACTGTCAAAGCTGAAGACCGAGTGTGGCAGGGTTATTTCCGGGACACCTGAGATTTTGAGTGAGTTTGAGAGGTTCTATGGGCAGTTGTACACATCATCGTTGGAGCCACACGCAAGTGTGAGTAACGATCCAAGAGCGAGTCTTATCCAACATTATTCCGATGATATCCCGGACGTCAGTCTGAGCGAGATTAGAATGGCGAGGATGGAATTACAATGGAGCTTCTGAAAGCGGGTGGAAAACCGGTACTTGAAGTCCTTCAGAAGCTCTTTAATTCCGTCCTCCATGATGGCACTACACCGGAGGCGTGGAGCAGAAGTGCGGTGGTCTTGTTCGTCAAGAAAGGCGACAACGCTCTCTTGAAGAACTACAGACCGATTTCCCTTCTGAGCCGATTTCTCTCTCAGCTGTTTTCTAGAGTCATTACGAATCGTCTCGCGCGCAGACTTGACGACTTCCAGCCTCCCGAACAAATCGGTTTTCGATAAGGCTTTAGCACCATAGACCACATACATACCCTTCGGCAAATTGTACAGAAGTCCGAGGAGTACAATTTGCCACTATGTCTGGCGTATGTGGACTATGAGAAAGCCTTTGATTCCGTCGAAATTTGGGCGGTGCTGCAGTCACTTCAGTGGTGCCAAGTTGACTGTCGGTATATCGAAGTGTTGAAGTGCTTGTACAGTAGGGCTACGATGGCTATCCGAGTACAGAACTAGAGTACGAAACCTATCCAATTGCAGAGAGGTGTCACACAGGGTGACGTCATATCCCCGAAACTTTTTCAAGCTTCTGGACTGGAAAAGATACGGTATCAACATCAATGGCGAATACATCGCTCACCTTCGATTTGCCAACGATATAGTCCTTAAGGCAGAATCGCTTTAGGACCTAAGCACTATACTCAATGACCTCAATAGTTTTCCCCAACGTATAGGTCTTAAGATGAACATGGACAAAACAAAGATCATGTTTAATGTCCATGTCACACCTATGCCGGTAGTTATTGGGAGCACTAAGTTCGAAGTTGTTGACGAGTATGTTTACCTGGGACAAATAGTCAGAATAGGTAAGTCCAACTTCGACTGAGAGGTCAATCGACGGATTCAACTCGGTTGGGCAGCGTTCGGGAAATTACGGCACATCTTCTCGTCAGGTATAATACCTCAAAACTTGAAAACGAGACTGTACAACCAGTGCGTGTTGCCAGTGATGACCTATGGAACTGAGACGTGGTCCTTCACTGCTGGCCGGATGAGGAAGCCCAAGGTCGCTCAGCAAGCTGTGGAGAGGGCTATGCTCGGAGTTTCACTGCGTTATAAACTTAGAAATGAAGATATCCGCTGTAGAACCAGAGTGACCGACATAGCCCAACGGATTAATAAGCTGAAGTGGCAATGGGCCGACCATATAGCACGAAGAAGTAGGGCGTCCCCTCACTAGACGGAGTGACGACCTGGTAAGATATGCCGGAAGTCGATGGATGCAGGTGGCTCAGGACCGTGCTTTGTGGCATTCCTTGGGGGAGGCCTATGTTCAGCAGTGGACTTGTGAAGGGCTGTAATGATGATGAGTTACAGATTATATCAGTAGTAATTTATGGGAACTCATGTTCGCTGTTAGCGCTATTCTTATATCTATGGCAACATTTATGAATTTTGACATTGACGTTGAATTGTTTACTTTGTTTTTACAAAGATTGTACACATACTTTTCCAAGATACATTGTAAAAAGTTTATTTTATTTTACAAGTCGAATATAACGTTTTAAATCAGAAATAGTTTTTAGACGTACAACGTACAACTGAAAGTGGTACTGAAGAATTGTGTGTTTGTAGAGTAAAGAATAGAATTGGTTAAAAAATATTCGAATGTAGTGTCATAATTTGTTAATTAATGCACTGAAAGTATGAAAACTTATTCCCGTAAACCCATTAAGCATCAAATAATAGAAGATGTTCACAAACTTTGCAGACTCTGCCTTAAAAAGGCCGATGAAAGTGTGTCAATTTATACCAGCGATAAAGATAACATTTGTGCATCATTAGCAATGAGAATTATGATATGTGTTGGGTTTGAGGTATATATTTTTTTATATTAAATCTTTTATTTCACGATTTTACCTACAATTAATGTTTACATTAAATTGTTTGCCTGTTTTAAATTAGGTTTCACAGGATGATTGCCTACCTAACTTATTATGTACAGATTGTTATAAAGAACTAGAAAGATTTTATTCCTTCCGGAAAAAATGCGAAATAACGTATCAAAAACTGAAGTCGCATCTCCTAGCACTTAAAGACAAAGAAAATCATAAAGCAGACTCAAAAGAACAGCACCAAAAACTTAGTGATTTAAATGATATGAAAAATGCAAGCCTTATAGAACATATTATATCAAAGGATGCTGAATCAGTGAACTTGACATCCAAAGAAGATGATAAATCAGAAATGGTGCATTCTGATGTTAATAATTTTGTAAACAATGAAGTGAGTTTAAACCATAATGTTGAGGTAAGTCCTTTAAAGCAGATATGATTAAGTAGCGTTTGATAAAAACTTTTGAAAGCCAAGCATGTGAGGTGTTTGTTCCTGGAAATTGTCAGTGATTTCAGTTGACATCATTACCATTGTAGCCATGACCTTAATTTATTACATAGTAATTATAATATAGTATGCAGTAGCCAAAAATTATAATATAGTAATTAGATTTTTATCTTATTAGTAACAGAACAGAATACCAGTGTAAAATAGCAGCTTAAAACTGCTGGGTTTCGTATTTTCTTAGTCCTCACAGGTGACAAACCATCTACATTTTGGTTCTTTGTTGAGGTTAGATGTAGATGTCTATGGGTCACGGCAATCACTTACCATCGGGTGAATTGTGTGCTCGTTTGTCACCTTATCCTATAAAAAAAATTAATACAACCATATGTGTTATGCCTGGTCTCTATATTTAAAAAATGCTGTTTTCTTTTACAAGCCATTTTACAGTACATAAATTTTATTAAAAACCCTTATAAAACAATATATTGGTTCATAGAATTAAGAACCACTTAAAGAAGTCTCATTTTAAGTTATTTTAAGTTTCCAAATAAACAGTTTGTGATAAAAACTGTTTTCACATGCAATTCATATGTAGTAAAACTGACCTTCACAAAGAACGAAATGTTACTTGAATATAGGAATTACGCATAAGTGGTCAGAATACCTAATTACAGATCAGCAGTTCATATTGATATTTGTACAAAAATACAAATTGGGTTTTCGGGTGTGTGTGCTACATGATAGATCTACCTCTGATTTTAACACATTAGTGTTACATTGGGCCAAGTAGTTTAGTATATTGCTTGTGCCTCTATGTGAAAGTGCACAATATTTTGTGGTGTTGCAATAGCTCCGAAATAACTTCTCAAAGTATTTGATAATTATGTACATTGCAAAATCATCAATACTTATAAGCGACTAGTGTTTCCAACAGTAGTACGTAGTAGTAGTAGTAGTAGCTTTTAAGTATTTAATTCTAACATTACTAATCCATTTTTTACAGACACAAGAAAGTTTTAACCCTGAAGAAAATGTACAGTCAACAGTAATTCCTGACTTAGGAACAATTATATCTACAGTTTTACTTGAAATAGGTATACTAACAAGATCAGATGATAAATTTACAGTAATGGACAACAGTATAAGGACTTTAGAACTGGAAACTGGTGATGGACAATATGTTTTAGAACTTGTAGAGGAAAGCGAGGTAAAAGTATTTCTGTAATCTTTTTAATTTAAATTATATATGCGTCTAGTGAGTTTGCAGAATAGGAGACCATTATTACTGGTAACAAGGCATTCCATCTTAGTTTTCTGGGGCAATAATACATCAACATTTTCATTTTAACTGAAGATAGATGTTGGTATCAATGGGCCACAGCATTCACTTACTATCTGATGGACTGTGTCCTTGCTTGTCACCCTTAATATAGTTAAAATAGGTGGTTTAAGATAAAGGAAAAGACCTGACGGAAGTAGTGGTTTGTATGGAGGAGCACTGCATTCTGTATTTGAGTCCAGTCTGGTTGTATTAGGCCTTCGGAGGATTCTATCTGGAAAATGTGGGTTACTAATGTCTCTCCTTTCCAAAGCTGGAATTTTCTCCTGGAGTCCTTCAGTAACCAACAACCCAGGAATATCTTCTTTATTCCTCTTTATATCATTATTTCATCACACAATTTCTGTTATAAGTATATAATATCTATAATTAACTTAAGTTGAAAGTTACTCTGTGTGATGACAGCATTTTTTTGGAATGCCTCTATCCAGTAAAAAGGGTTTCAGGTTCTCTACATTCACCCTATGAAACACAGCAGCATTATGCTGCTATTTCCACTGGTATCCTGTAAAAGTGTGGTTCTTCCCTGGTCAAGTTGATCCATTTGTGCTACAACCATAATATATAATAGCTGCAGTGGCTCTACCACATATAAAACATGAATAAACAACTTTTAAACTTTAAAATGCATTTATTACATTCTATACATTTACTGCATGAAAACAATATTTTTCAAAAGTACAATTATAGGTACTTAATACAGTGAAATATTTCAGGAAGAAAATGTAACGCAAACTGAAAGTACACATGAAAATAATCGAAACTTAGTTAACCAATTTGATGTAGAGGACAGTAATGTGAAAAAGTAAGTACCAAGTTATTTCATCAAAGTTAATAAATAACTGCCAGCCATGACTACTTTGTAGCTGGGCATTCTCATGCAAACAGATTAAAATTTTTGTTGTGGTTGGTCTGCTTGGTTCTGCCCGTGCATTGATGATCAGCCAAATGGTTATTACTAGTTTCTTTTAAAAGTAAAAAGTAAAGTAACAGCCTATATACGTCCCACTGCTGGGCACAGTCCTCTCACTTCTGAGAGGGTTTTAGGGCAAGAAAGTGTTTGCCGCGCTGCCCCAATGCATGTTGGCGGACTTCACATTCACGTGTCTTCGAAACGTATATATTTTTTTGAATTCTGACACATACAGATTTCCTCACGATGTGTTTTTTCACCGCAGGCCACGTGATAAATCAGCACTAAAAATGCAATTAAAAATTTCATTGGTGTCGGCAGGGATCGAACCCGGATTGCTCGCGTACTGTGAAATTTACAGCGAGTGCTAACCCACTGAGCTACCACAACATATTTCTTTTAGTATGATAGAATATGTGTCCAGCTGTAGGTAACTACTTTTATAAAAAAAATATACTATGTAAAAAAGGAAGAAAAAAACCTACAATGTTTCTCTTTCACCATTTTTCTTTTGGTCTGGTCCCTCTACCTAATTTTAATACAAGTATATTTAATAAATAAATATTTACATGTTAAAAAAAGAAAGATATTTCAATTCATTCATAATGAAATTTTGGGGGCTAGTTAAATTTGCTAGGAGTCCGTCTGGCCTAGGAGTGCACTGCTATGTTTACATCTGAAGGGTATAGAGAGTCAGTACAATTACAGGCTCTGCGGCATTTAATGTTAGTCCTCAGAGGTGACAATCTGTAGCCTCCTTTGTTTGATGGTGGTTACAGGTGTCCATGGGTTGCAGTAGCCACTTACCATATATCAGATAAACTGAAAGTTCACTTTAATTTCATAAAAAAAAAGTTATTATTATCACATGTATAGACAGTGCACATGTATAGACAGTGTGTATGTAGCCCACAATGTAGTAGTAGTGTATGAATATCCACTACCTCATGTCACCCTGTGGGTGTTGGAAGAGGTGACAAAGGGAAATAAACCCGGAGATGATAAAAAAAAACTATGGTTGCAAAACTGCCTGCCAAGGATAACTATCTTGTTATGCTAGACGTAAAATATTGTTGCGCGCCACGTGGTACATGGCGACACTAGTTACCACTAGCGCCCTTTAGTATCGAGTAGCAGAACTAGGAGAGTCAAGTACATTCTAGAAATTTCTATGGAAGAACTTTCTGGAACTATCGACACCTAGTCAATCGGGACCGATATCCGATATGTACTCGAACATTCTAGAAGTTTCTATAGTAGAAGGTTCTGAAAACTACCTGAGGGCCTATATAAGGTCGGTATAGACTGCGATCGAGTCAGTATTGAATTGGTGATACAAACGAATACGTCGAAGCGATAAAACTGCGAATTAAAGTGATCAGTAGTACAATTGTGTTTTATTATTAGTGTGGTTTTAAGTTGTAAATAGTGTTCTGTAATTAAAGTGTCAATTTTGGTAATTCAATCGACAGATTTTAATTGTCTCGAAACCCAAGGTCGTAACAATTGGTGTCAGAAGTGGGATTAAATCATGCCGATTTTACTTAAAGACGACACGGAGGGTATCCGTACCCGAATTCAACGCCAACGGGAGACGGACCAGAGACGATTTGATAGTGCAACGGCGCAGACGTCGGAGGGACAGCTGACGACTACGGAGGCCGGCCCGTCAGCAGCTTCTGCATCTGCTGCACCTGACTTAGGTGCTCTGATGATAATGCTCCAGGAGCAGTACCGACAGGAGGAACAGGCCCGTTGGTTGGAAGAGCAGCTACAGCGCGGTATGGAAGAGCAGATGCTCCTTATGAAGGACCTTCACACTACCTTCGGGAAAGAGATAAGGGAAGTGAAGGATAGGGTTGCTCAATATGACAACCGCCTGCCGGAAGCTGAAACCGAATCGACCAAGTGAGCAATCGGGTTGACTCGTAATGGCTGACGTGAAGAAAACGCTGGACGATCTCAAACTTTGGGATGGAATTACAGCTCCCGTGGTAGCTATAACACCTTTGCTACGTGGATTCAAAATCCAGTTCGAGGCTGTCATGAAGGCAAACGGCTGGAATAAAAGTCAGACCATGACTGCTCTCACCCTAGGCCTGAGGAAAGGGGCCATCTTCGATCCAGCTGCCCTAAGCGAACTATAGAAAGGGGAGTTGATCGATCTCGAGAGGGTAGTGCGGCTTACAGCACCGCCCAGCAGCAGCAGGAATACAACTTTGTGATAGAAAATCGCAGCGGAAATCTCATGGCAACGCAGATGCATTGTTAAAAAGACCTTGTCGTGAAGATTGCAAGCATTGTATTAGGCAAGAGGGTAAGGAAGTGGTATCTGTAAGGATGCTCAGGACAGACCAGCTCAGCAATGAGGGGAAGGACAGCCTACAACATGCACAGCAAGAAGATTTGGACATCAAGCCGATTCTGGAATGGATGAAGGCCAGTGCTCCTAAGCCCAAGTGGAGCCACGTCTCAGATGAGTTGGAACACGAAAACCTATTGGGCCCTATGGGACAGCTTGCTGATTCAGGATGGAGTCCTGTGCCGTAAATGGGAAAATCTCGAGGAGACAGCTGTCATTTGCATATGGTTGTGCCTAAAGCTAAAGTGCCGGATGTTCTACAGCTGTACCATAATGGTTGTTCTGGAGGCCATCTGGGAGTTAAGCGAACTCTACTGAAGATCTGAGAACGGTTTTACTGTGTCCACTGTCGTGACGATGTCGAGGACTGGTGTCGCAAATGTACGAGTTGTGCGGCTGTAAAGGGACCTCAGACTCGTAGTAGAGGTGCATTAAAATTGTACAATGTTGGTACACCATGGAAGAGGATAGCCCTTGACGTTTGGGGGCCGTTTCCGGAAAGTGAAAGTGGTAACAAGTATTTCATGGTTGTGATGGATTACTTCACTAAGTGGCCAGAAGAAGATAAACTAGTTCATGAAGTCTTCTGTCGTTTCGGAGTACCTTTAGAGATTCACAGCGATCAAGGAAGAAATTTTTACTCTCATATATTCCAGGAAACTTGCCAAAGCTCAAAGCTCAAATATTCCAGGAAACTTGCTCAAAGTTATGGGTACTCATAAAACAAGAACAAATTCTTACCACCCACAATCTGATGGAATGGTAGAACGATTTAATCAGACATTGGAGAGGTACCTAGCAAAAATTGTGGAAAATCGGCAACGGGACTGGGACAAGCACATACAACCGTTTTTGTTGTCATATCGAAGCGCTGTTCACGAAAGTACATCAGTGACACCAGCTTTTGCAGACTTTGGAAGAGAATTACGGCTGTCTGCAGACCTGATCACCGGAATACCACCTGATGCCCAACGCAGTATAATCGATTATGCAAATGACTTGCGGAACAAAATAAATGACATTTATGAGCACGTCAGACAATCAAGCCAGCAAATGTCTGAAAAGATGAAAACACGGTGTGACCGCAAAATGAATAACAAAGGGTTCGACGAAGGTTTACTACTATGGTTACACAATCCAGTTCGCAGCAAATCTCCTAAGCTTTAAGCTAAATGGGACGGACCGTACCGGATTGTGACAAGGATCAATGACGTAACCTACCGGATACAGAAAGGTGCAGGAGGCACTCGTAAGATCGTCCATGTGGACTGTCGCGTTATTATGGGTCCAATAATGCTCGGGACGAGCATGTCTTAGGAGGGGGCAGTGTTGTGCGCTACGATTAATACATGGTACATGGCGACACTAGTTACCACTAGCGCCCTCTAGTATAGAGTACCAGAACTAGGAGAGTCAAGAACATTCTAGAAATTTCTATGGTAGAAGGTTCTGGAAACTAGCTGAGGCCCTATAGGCCCTATATAAGGTCGGTATAGACTGCGACCGAGTCAGTATTGAATTGGCGATACAACTGCGAACAAAAGTGATCAGTAGTACAATTGTTTTATAGTTAGTGTGGTTTTAAGTTGTAAATAGTGTTCTGTAATTAAAGTGTCAATTTTGGTAATTCAATCGGCAGATTTTAATTGTCTCGAAATCTAAGCTCGTAACAATATCTTAATTTACCGTTGGTCATCACATTTTATAGCAGTTACAACTTTTTTTTAAGTACATTTCTGTACTGTTATATTTTTTGTTATATCTCGGAAGCACATGGTTAAACATCCAGATAGGCAGCAATTATTTGTTGGCGACGTACCATCGGAACTAAACGCTTAGCCACTTTATTTGTATTACTATATTGTTTGTTATTTTATAAAACCCAAATCGTCGTACAAAACCTGGATTATTGATGGTCTCGGGCTTAAACTTTGATTTGAGAGGAGTTTTTTTTGATAATGTGGTCCTTCTCTCTCATCTTCAGTCTGCGGTGTCACATTCTTTGCAAAATTTGACATTTGTCGTCAAATTTCATAGTTTACGTTTTAGTTCGCATATTTCCTACGGGCTCTCTTCCTTGAACAGGCTAATTTAAACGTGAGTGAGACGAATTATAAACTACTCTGTGTATTAAGAGTGGGTGTAGACAACCAGAGTCTTTTTTATTTGCGGTTATACGGGTCGAATATCGAGAGATGCAGGCGGTACATATTATGCGCGGCTCTTTTCTACGTGCACTTTATTGACTCTACAAATGATTGATTCTACTCCTTGTCCCATTTTGCTATTCTCCCTTTCCGGGCATAACGAGCACATAACTTCGGTTTTGTGCAGATCTCTAATCGTGTTTTCTTTTTCCATGGCTGTCATCCGCGTGCTATACTTAGACCTATTTCTGTTGTAATTTTGGATCATTTGTTATTTTTGTTAGTACAAATAAATTACTTTATAAAAATCTATTTGGTTTTACAGAGGGTCGCTCGACGACTGACTCCGGTGTTGAGCTTATGGAATATATTTTTAATGCCGTAGGTATTTTTTGTGATCTTTCCAAAGCTTTCGATTGTGTTCATCATGAGACGTTAATCAGGAAACTACACCATTATGGTGTCAAAAATATTGCGCTAAGAACTTATTATTTCATATTTAAGTAACAGAACTTAAAAAGTCGTGATCAATAGTAAAGGTTCCTCCGGTTCGGTAGTATTAATGGGCGTTCCTCAGGGCTCGATTCTTGGCTCATTCCTGTCCTTAATCTGTATTAATGACTTACCTTATCTTGTAGGAGACAATCACGATATAGTATTTTTTGCTGATGATACTCGTACCTTTTTAATTTACAAACTCAAACGGCAGTGAATTAATTATGAAGATGTAAATAAAGGTCTGTCGAAATTATTACATTGGTGTAACGCCAACAATTTGCTCTGAAACAGTATTAAGACAACATGTATTAAATTTACAATAGCTAATGTTAAAAATTCGAATACCAATGTGATCTTAAATTGGGAGGAGTTGAGTCTTGTGGATACCACTGTTTTTCTTGGTAATGCTATTGAAGTGAAGCTTCAATGCGGCCCACATATATCTAAATTAGCA